CTCCACAGGCAGAACGTTAATCTAGCTTTTACTCTCAGGGTTGTTAAGGCAGAGACAGAAGGAAAGATTATAGTGTTAGCAAGTTAGGCTCACACAGAGTAAAAACAGCCAAACCTCTGGGTTTTTTGTTTTTGTTTTTTTTCAGTATTGGGTTTGAACTTCTCCTTTGAGTTTTCTAAGCAGGCACTCTATGGCTTGAGCCACACCTCCAGCCCTTTTTGCTCTAATTATTTTTGAGATAGGGTCCTGCTTTTTCCCTGGGCTGGCCTAGACTTCAGTCTTCCTCTTACGCTTCTCACTATAGCTGGGGTGACAGGTGCATGCCACTTTGCCCAGCTATTGGTTGAGATGGGGTCTTGCAAACTTTTTGTTTGGGCTGGCATGGAACTTTGATCCTCCCAATCTCAGCCTCCAGAAGTAGCTAGGATTGCAAGCTTGAGCCACCCATGCCTAGCAGACATGCCTCTAGCAGCATGGTTCTCATCTCTAGCATGCCAGCCTTGGGCCAGAAGGTCATAAAGTCTCAAAATGGGGATGAGAGCAGTCAGTCAGCTAACAAAGGACTGCTGGGTGAGGACAGGCTTGGGAAAGCCTGGACCATCTCTCTATTTACATGAGCAGTGCTCACGCAACACCAGGCAGTTACAAAGAGAAGTGCCCAGCCTGGCTGGGATGCTCCCCGGTAGGCTTTTGGGTTGTATGGCAACTCCCTAGGATGCACCCTACATCTTTTGCAAGGAGTCAAGATTGGATAAAATACTAGAGAAGACACTGTTAGAGAAGTAACTGCTCTTTCCCCCATTGCTCTGCTCCAGCCTCAAGGTGGCCCCCTCTGAGTATTAGCAAAGTATGAGCTAAGTGTAGAAATCCTGTCTGGTGTCTGTCCCCCACCTCTGAGCTAAGGACCAGGAAACAGGACACCCAGAGACTGGGAACCAAGGGTCACAGCAGCCAGCAGACTCAGATGGGAATCACAGTCCTGACACTCATTGGCTGTGTGACCCTGGCCAAATCACCCAGCTCAGGCTAGGTGCCTAGTTTCTTTATCTCTGAGGGGCTTGTCCACAGCATCATGGTGGAACACAGGGTCTGGTCCAGAACCCGAGTTCTGTAAATGTTGACTGCTGTGTTGTGGTGGGCGCTTTGGTAAGCTGTGATGAACTGGCCACCTTTTCTCTTGTTTACTTCCCATCCAAGTAGTATAGAGGTCCTGGGAATTTGCCCTTCACCCCAAACTGTTTTTGTGCTCTTCAAGAGGTCAGCCTCTAGCTGATAGCTTGTTTCTGTTCCCACAGTGTTGTCCAGGCATTTTTATCTCTGTATTTCTGAGGTGGCAGCTCCAGGGCTAGACCCACTAGAATCTGACATCTCGAGATCCAGTGTCTGGGTCTGCCAGTACTCCCATCATCTGACCAGCCGCCCATCTAGCTGTACCTGGCTGCAGAACTGGGTATGGAGTTTACGGCTTCCCCAACATTCCATCACTGTCCCACTCCACATACCAGAAGGCTTGGCTGTCAGGGTGGGCTGGGGGTGTTTGGATAGGGGAGAGGAGATAGGAAAGAGGAGGGTGAAAAAAAGGGAGAGGAGGTGGGTGGGGGTAGGAAAGGAGGCAGGGGAGGAATAGGAGGAGGGAAGGAAAAGAAGGAAGGAGGGCTAGAGATGAAAGAGAGGAAGAAAGGATCCAAGGTCACATGAACTTCAACCCATTGATGCTCATTCTGGGAAGACCAGCCCTGCAGAGCCCTATGCAGGAAGAAATGAGATTTGGCTGGACACAGAGAACAGGAGAGACCTCACGGTGCCTGGGGGATGATTTCTAGTTGCGTAAGACAAACTCTGCCCTTCCTCCTCCTCACTATCCAGCCCCCTGTGGTCACCATGCCCTGGACACAGCCTCCCTGGGCCTTGTAACCCCTTTCCTTGCCCAGTGCAAAACCAGCAATGACCTCCTGCCAAGCCTACTGGTGTGTCTCCCTTGCTCTCTTTTGGCTTGCTGTGGTGGGAGGGAGCTTTTCCAGTGGGGAGAACAGCTCCTCCTTCAGACCCTCCCTTGTGCTGGAGGAGGTTCAGATGAGGTTCCTCCTACCTAGCATGTTCTCACGCTTTAGACCACCGACATGATTGTTGCTTTATCTGTGGACAACCTATCCATGTTTTTCCTTTTTGGTGGCACTGAGCTTTGAACTCAGAACCTCATGCTTGCTAGGCAGGTGCTCTACCACTTGAGCCTCTCTGCCTGTCAATTTTGTGTTGGGTATTTTCAAGTTAGGGTCTTGTGAACTATTTGCCCAGGCTGGATTCAAACCACAATCCTCCTGATCTCTGCCTCCTGAATAGCTTAGATTACAGGTGTGAGCCACCAGCACCCACCTCCATGTTTTTCTTTAAATCAACTCCTTCCTGTTTTGTGTTCCTCTCACTAAGCAATTGTAGCTGTGAAATCAACTGTGTTGGTCATTCTTTTTCTTTGAGTCATAAAATAGTTTTCTGTGGCAGTACACCTTCACCTGCTGCAGGACACTGGCCAGCATGACCCCAGCTAGAGTGGCAATGCAGGGTGGGATGGGGGACCACGTGAGATGGCTCATGTCGTCCACCTGTTGCTGATGGGGACTGTTTAACTTCCTTCCATGCACACAGCAGGTCTTCATAAGTGACTCATGGAGGCCTTGGCAGCCACCTCTGTGGTTCTCCGCACTTCCAGTCTCTCACGCATGGTCCTGGCCACTATCAAACCCTTCACAAGCATCATCTTCTGAGGACCTAGAATACACCAGTGAGGTGGGCAGGGCACCTATAATCTCTGTTTAGTAAATGGAGTCTCTGAGGCCAAGTCTGACCTGTCCAGGATTTCCCAGAAACCTGAGCTCATTTCTCTACCTTCCTTGCTTGCTGGCTTGGTGATTGCCTGCATACACGTAGGTATTCGTGGGTGCCCCAGCATGGAAACAGACAACACCAGTTAAATTCTAGGGCAAATTTCAGTCCAGCACAACTGCTCCCCTTCTCATGTTTTTCCCAAGCACCCTCCATTCTTGGTGTTGGGCAGGACACCAGGAATGAATGGCAAGGCATGCATTCATAGACCTGGGCTGGGCACTGTATTTTTAGGCTCTGGGCATCTGCACTTCAGCTAGTGTCCTCAGCTACAAAGGCACGTGGAGGTCTCTGGGAGCTGAACCTCCCTCCTCCCCTTTGGGGCTCAGGATCCAGCTCTCTTTTGCAAAACAGAATCAGTTCCTATTAGTGAAGAGTGTATCCCACCCACAACACGCAGAGGCTCAGAAGAAGGGACGCCTGCAATATAAAATCTGTGACCTTAAATTCCTTTTCTTCTTATACTGCAATCGAACTCAGGGCCTTTCTGGTGCTAGGGAAGTGCTTTACCAGAGTTACATCTCCCCAGCCACGACCTTGGATTCCTCAGTTGGAAAGGAGTTGGAAGGAGGCCCTCAGCCTCACAGAGGGATCACCAGCCAGAAGGTCGCTGAGGTGCTCACAGACCTACCCCAGCAGGTAACCTGCTGGGTGGGCAAGATTGCACTGTGCTGACCGTTCAGGTCAAGAGACCGCTCCTTCTCTGGCAGGGCTAAGTCTGTGTCTTAGTTTTGTCTCAGTTCTCCTGAGTAAAATTTTTCAGGAGCCAAGAAGCAATTCTAGTTCACACAGGTAAACCATGGCAGATAAAAACGGACTTTTCTACCTTCTCTTCTGCTTCCTGTACACCTTTTACCCTCCCTGAGCAGAACGCTGCCAGGTTCTACTGGGTAGGTTTCACAAAGGGCAGCAGGTGGGGTGGGGGTACAGTGTATAGCACTTGGGGTCCATGGTAAAAGCTCTCTGAGGACTCTCCAGGCTCTCCTGTAATTTACCTGAAGGCTGGGCTCGTTTTCTCCTCTGTAAACTGGGAAGTGACAGCACCTATCTGGCACAGTGATGAGTTGTTATCAGCAGAGTTAGAAATACTTTTTATATCCTGACCAAGTGCATATATGCAACATAAGTGAAATAAATGCTTCCCAAACAGTACTTATTTTCATTTCATTATGCGGGATGCTGTGCTGTTTTCCATCTCATTCTATTTCATTTTATAAAATGCTGGTCACTACCCACAAAATTTTTCCCAGTACCCAACACTGGACCCTCATCTGACGTTTATGGTAAAGAAACAAGCCAAAACAAAAACCCAAGCACACACGCAGCGCGCACACGAGTACAATTACGAACCATGCTAAGCCGATCCAAGGAAAGTTTCGGGAGGTGTGGGGGAAGGGACAGCAGGGCTCTGGGCTGCAGCTCGGGGAGCAGTCCAGGCGGGCAGGTGTCCCAGGGCCGCCGAGCCAGGGTAGAGAATCAGGATTTATTTTAAGGGCCCGGAGCGGGCGGCACGTTTGGAAGGAGAGGCAGGACTCGAGAGGCGCGTTCGGCGCGTTCTGTTTACGGGGAGCCTCCAAGTGCTCCAGGATCGAACGGCCCGAACCGCATGGGAGTGAGGATCGCGGTGCACTCTACCCGGCGTGGAGAATCCGTCCGCGCCCCTCTTCGGCAGACAGCTACACTGAAGCCGGAGTCCCAAGCCCGGGAGCCAGAAGCTGCCTGAGGCGGGGGCGGGGCCGGCACGCGCGGTGGGCGGAGCTTGGCGTCCTTCCAGGCCCCGCCTCGGCCTCACCTCCCAGTTTGCAAACAGTGGCTAGCCGCCTGCCCGGCGCACGCGCACTCTCCCCCGCCCGCTCAGTCTCGTGCCTCATGCCTCAAGCTGCGCGCGGGGCCCGCTGGGAGACAGCCGCGCAGGTTAGGGACAGAAAGCCCGAGTGGGTCGCCCCCAGCCAACGCCACCCTGCTGCGCAGGCGCCGTCCCGCCCCCGACCGGCGGGGCGGCCATATTTAAAGGGGGCGGGCGCGGCGAGCCAATCGGCGGCGGGCGTGAAGGGGCGGTGCGCGGCGGCGCAAGGCCCCGGATGAGGCTGCGGCCTTGCTCCTCCCCCGCTCCCCTCAGAGCCCAGTCGCGCGCCTCGCTCCCCTCGCTTGCTAGCTCACTCGCTCGCGGCCCCGCAGGACCCCTCGGGCGCGGCGGGAGGCGCCCCGGCGGCGGCGGCGGCGCGGAGCAGCGCAGGAGCGGGCGGCCAGACGACCGCGCGGTGGCCAGGCGGGCGGAGCCCGGCGCTTGTACCCCGCGCCCGGCGCGCCCCGGCCGCCGCCATGAGTGGCTCCTCGGGCACCCGTATCTGGGCAGCAAGATCAGCCTCATCTCCAAGGCGCAGATCCGCTACGAGGGCATTCTCTACACCATCGACACCGACAATTCCACCGTGGCGCTCGCCAAAGGTAGCGGCCCGCCGCCGCCGCGCGTTCAACCGCCGCCCCAACAGCCCCGCCACCCCCGCGCCCGGCGCCCCCGCGCCCCCGCGCACAATGGTCTTCCCCGTTCTCGCGGCCGTGGCGGCGGGGCGCGGGGGCTGCGGCCCGGGCTCGGGAGGGCGGGGCGGGCCGGCGCCGCGCAGACCATCCCGCAGGTGCTGGGGGCGGGGCGCGGCCGGGACCCCCGGGCGGGGCGGGGCGGGGCGGGGCCCGCGCGCTCCTGGAGCCCATTAGGCAAGCTGGGCCCGCCGGGTCCCGCCGAGCCTCCGGCCCCGAGAGCGACGGTTGGCCGACGGGTGCCGGGGTCCGAACTGTTTGTCCCGACGGGGCCGTGCGTTTATGACAGTCGCCTGTGGGTGCTGGCACACTTCGGGGGACTCGTTTGGGACCCCAGAAGTGCAGAAGCAGTGGGCTTGTGCAGGCAGCGGGAGGCCCGGAGCCTCTTTGTCTCCATCCTGCAGAGAAGATGGGCCGCTCTTCCCTTGCCTGCCTGCGGGAGCGCGGGTGCAGCAGCCCGGCTGTGTGCGGGGCCTTTGGTGTCCATGCACGTCTGCCTCGGGCAGAGGGAGCCCAGCGGCCCGGGAGGCGATCCTCCCAATCCCGAGAGCGTCCCCTTTTGAAGCCTGGTGCTCAGAACTGGCCAGATGCAGCGCTGCAGGAGAGAGCTCAGTACTCCGAGTCTTTGTGTTTACTTGAACCCTCCGGACTGTACTAGCTTTGCCGTGAGATGTAGTGGGACACGCTGAGGCCCAGAGTAGGTGCTACTGCCCTCAGTAGTGGTGCTCCTGTTAGATGAGCCTGCTGCCGGACCTAAAGGAGCCTCGGAACCCTACGAAGCAGCAGTGTGGCAGGAGTCCTGGACTCCTGCCAGTAGGTGGTCTCTTGGGCTGGTGTTTCCTTAATAGAGGCTGATGTTGGGGGTCCAGGTTATGGGACCCCCTTTGTGCTTTGTTTCTGTGACAGCTATCCGGAGCTGTTTGTGTGTAGAAAGTGGGTAACATTCACCTTACTGGTTCTTTTGTTTTTTCCTGGTACTGGGGCTTGATCTCATGGCCTACACTTTGAGCCACTCCAACAGACCTTTCGTGTATGTGTGTTACCCTGGCTAGCTTTGAACTGTGATCCTCCTGGTCTCTGCCTCCTGAGTAGCCAGGATTACAGGCGTGAGCCACTGGTGCCCAGCTAACTTACTAGTTCTTGTCTAAAAAAACTGCCTCCCCAGCCACAGCGCATGAAAGTTCAGGCACAAAACAGCTGGTGTTTCTATCTGCAAAGTCAGATGTGAATAGGGAGGTTTTGCGAAGCAAGCTTTGTTTGGCTAAGCGCTCTGCATGTTGGTGTGTTTGCACTGGAGAATATGGAGTGTGTTGAGACTTTCAGTCCATGAAATTTTCCTCATTGTCTTCCATGGCCTACACTCTTCCGAGCTTTACCAACTGGTGCCTTGTAGGTATTGTCCTCTGAAAATTAGGGGATTCAGGAGCTGTTGAGCTGTAAACAGGGTGCTTTGCTAGGCAGGTCAGAGGCCCCTGTCAGGGAAGGCTGGGGAGCTGTAGCATCAGAGCACTGATAGAGTGGACGTGGCCCAGGACAACAACTTAACCCTTCTTTTTCTCAACCCCTAAGTGAAGTCCTTTGGTACTGAAGACCGTCCCACAGATAGGCCTGCTCCCCCAAGAGAGGAAATTTATGAGTACATCATTTTCCGGGGAAGTGATATCAAAGATATTACTGTGTGTGAACCTCCGAAAGCTCAGCACACACTCCCTCAGGATCCTGCTATTGTCCAGGTAAGTACGTCTGTTGCTGTGCTTCTGTGTGGGCACTGTTTCTAAGAAAGGCTGGTTTCCATGTGGAACTTGACATCCTCTGTTGGCCTGAGTGCCCAACTTGAGAAATAGCCCTTTAATGAGAAGTGGCCTAGTTTTCACCTAGGCAGTTGATAATCCCGTGGAAGGTGTGTAGGAAGTAATATGTGTGGCATGGCCCCTCTGGAAAAAGGCCTTCAGGTCAGTGTGTGTGGTGTGCTTCTGGTCTTGCTTGGAGTTAGGGTGCCTGGGGCATCATATTTGGAGAAGTCAACACCTTAGTGACACGGTGTGAATGGTAGAAGATGCTTATGGGGATGACAGGACTCTTAAGTGTCCCACTGTTAACTTTTCGTGTGTGGGACACTGAGTTTGCAAGTCTTAAGATGTGTGCCTGCCTGCTAGGTTATGGCCCAGGATTATCAGGGAACCCAGATTAATTTTTCTTCATTTGTAAATTTAAATTTTCCCTCGTACCTCTGGGGTTCAGGCTGTGCCAGGTTCTGAGATGGAGGTATACCTGGAAGGTAGGAGCAGGTGGGAGAGCTTCATTTCAGAGCACTTCTGGAAGCTTGGAGAGTGGGTGCCCTGGGACTTCAGAAGAGGAAAGGGACTGAGCCAGGCCTGTGGGTAAGGAGGACATAGCCAGGTTAGGGGCAAGGGAATGTCAGTCCCCAAGTTAGCAGGAGTGCTCCTGTAGGCTTGGTGAGCAGAGAGCAGTGGGGAAGTATAAGTAGTTTCAGGCCTACAAAGCTGTACCTCTGCAGAGGGGCATGTCTCCAATCCAGGGTGCCATTTTCTCTTGTTCAGGAGGCCAAACTGCTGATGGCAGAAGGGAGCAGAAATTTGTTATTGTTGTTGTTTTTAATAGGTTTATTATTTTAGGACTCGTATATGTTATTACAGCTTCTCAGTTTGAATTCCTAGTTTGGTAAATATGGATAGACATAATCCATGTAAATGAAAGGTCTTTGATACCTTCGGTACCTTGTAAGAGTATAAAGGGGTCCCAAAGAGACAGGGAAATTATACTATTTTTAATAATTATATTAAAGGGGTCGGAATCAGACATTGGAACCAGGAAGTAAAAACTGAAAAACTCGAGTCCTGTTAAAGGGTTTTAATTGAGTTAGAAGTTCATATTGGAATTACATGGCAGCTGGGAATAGGATGGGGAAGAAGCAGCTTTGACCATGTTGGAAATGCCCTCAGGACTGTCCAGCATGTCAGGAGTGTAGCCTGACACAGCAGGAGCCACCTCCCCATTTGAGCAAGAGCTCTGTATGGACTCACAGGGTGACAGGATGGCCTTGTATTGCTTTCACCTGTGTCTTGTTGTTCAGTCTTCCCTGGGCTCTGCCTCTGCCTCGCCCTTCCAGCCGCATGTGCCTTACAGCCCCTTCAGAGGAATGCCGCCCTACGGCCAGCTGGCGGCCAGCTCCCTGCTGGGCCAGCACTACGCTGCCTCCTTAGGTCTAGGTGAGTGACTGTTCTGCCTGCTCAGCCACCCCGTCTGTGACAGCAGGAGGTGGGACAACAGACCCGGAGGGTAGGGACATGCCACCATGTCATAGTCTGCTCCTGGGTTGTTTATCAGCATGGGCTTGATAAATTACCCAGCGCAGCTTCAGCTCTTTAGCATGTTTAGTGACTGCTCAGCTGATGTAAGAGGCAGCAGAGTTTTGCACCAGATGATCCAAATCAAAATTGATCTGACATGCAGATTGGATCCGAGTTGGAAGTGCTAGTATATGTGCCTCAAAGAAGAAATGCCGACCTAAGTGTTCATTGATGATTTCTAGCTGTTGGCACATGTTTAGCCTATGCTGTCCTATTATGCTATTACATTCTGGATTATTCTATCATAGGTGCTTTGCTCAAAAATGGTTTCAACCAAGGTTGACCAGTAAGAGTCTGTTCTCTGTGTTGAGAGTGAAATCGACCATGTCCTTGACCTGGACGTATCTCTGTAGCTGTGTTTAGGACATAAGAGTTGGAGGTGGTCCATTCACCCTTGCTCTGACTCCAGCATGAGGCAGCACAGGCAAGGAGCATTAATGGGTCCCAAATCAATTCTTCAGGTTACTTGTTTGTCTTGATTGTTGTTCCTAGTGTGATAGGTGGCCTCTCAGCTTGGCTTACTGTTTCTAAAATAGGTTTGAATGACCAAAGTGTCCTATGAGAGGTTGCTTGGCTCTTTCCAAGCTTGTTAGACACAAGACAAGTATGTCCTGACTTATTTGTGTGCTTTCTCTTTGCTCTTCTCTCCTTTCTCTTCTTTAGAGAAGTTGGTAAGCCCTCCAGCCTCAGCCGCTGCTTCCAGCCCTAGTTCTTCTCCATCTCCACAGCCCGTTTCAGAGCTTGACATGTCCTCAGAGCCACCTCAGCTCACTTCCAAGGGTAACAGCAGTTTGGAGAACTAACTGCATGCTGTCTTGCAGATCATTCTGAGAGCAAGGGGGTAAACCGAAAGCCAGAGTAGAATGACAGGAGCCATAGGGATCATTCGCTAGGCCCAGGGATCAGTGGCACTGCTTTTGTTTGGTGCAGTACACAGCCTGATTAATTAACTACCATAGTTTTAAAGAAGGGGTTAGATTCAGCGGAGCCCCATGTTCCCTCTGCCTGGGTCTGCTTTGACCTGTTCACGACCACTATGCATGAGAAGCCACCTGGAACACAAAGCTGTTTCCCTGGGGTTCGCTGGGTTCTAAACATGTTCTAGATTGCTGCGGTGGAGCTACTCTATGCAACTTAAGAGCGGCACATAGGGCACTGTTCAGGACACTCAGAATGGGGAACTTGCATGACAATCCCCAGATGATTGGCTGGGTCAGTAGTGTTGTTTTGAGGACCAGATGATCAGTGCAGTATCAAGCACCTGTTTTCTGCTGAGGTGGCAGCACCTATGGGGTTTCTCAACTATCCCACATTCTCATGTACCCTCAGGTTCTGACATTCATGCTGCCAATTCTGCAACACCTGTTTTACATAAGGCACCATGCTGTGTGTATGGCCTGTGGGATTCCGTCCAGGAGGCTGCCTAGGGCTCCTGTTTTGGCAAATGAGCACTGGTTGGGCTGTTTGCACTTACTGCTTTCTAAGTCCTGCTGGACTTCAGTGTCTCTGAGTTAGAGCAGTTGTAATATTTTTTCCACTTAAAAACCACAGTAGATTGCCTATAATTCCAGCCTTGCAGGAGGATCATAGTTCAAAATTAGTCTGGGCAGAATGGCTCCATCTTAACCAACAAGCCAGGCATGGTGGTACAAACTATAATCCCAGCTACTTGGGAAGGCATAGGCAGGAGGATCGCAGTCAGAGGCTGACCTCAGGTAAAAACGTGTCTCACACCTGTAATCCTAGCTACTCAGGAGGCAGAGATCAGGAGGATTGCAGTTTGAAGCCAGCCTGGGCAAATAGTTCCTGGGACCCTATCTCAAAGAAACCCAATACAAAACAGGGCTGGTGGAGCGGCTCAAGTGGTAACGTGCCTGCCTAGCAGAGCCTAGCAAGTGTGAGGCCCTGAGTTTAAGCAACAAGGGCTGGGGGCATAGCTCAGGTGGTAGAGTGCCTACTAATAAGTGCAAAGCTCTGAGTTCAGATCCTAGTCAGATGAAAAAAAAATAAGAAAAAAAACCATCCATCATCCTTAAGACCATTTACATAGAACTACCTATAGGGCAAGACTTTTAATTTTTAAATTTTTTTTGATGGTGGGACCAGGGTTTGAACTCAGGGCTTTGCACTTGCAAAGCAGGTGCTCTACTACTTAAGCCACACCTGCAGTTCATGTTGCTCTGGTTATTTTGGAGATGAGGTTTTGAGAACTATTCGCCTGGGCTGATCTTGATCCTTGATCCTCTGGATCTCAGCCTCTCAAGTAGCCAGGATTACAAGCGGGAGCCACCGGGTGCCGGGCTCAACGGGTTTGGTTTTATAGAAGACACGTGAGCCCAAGATTCTTGCTTCATCCATTCCTATGACTGTAAGAAGCAATCATACTGAGTGAGGTGATAGTCCTGAGAAAGTGGTCAGGGTTAGTTCCCATCACAGAGGACCCTCATGAATAGCTGTCCCCAGAGTGCTTTTCTTGATCCAGTTATGTGGCATTTCTCCATAGTACTTTCTGTCCAGTGTACAGAATCAGACTACAGATGTATTCCATTCTTTACCTGCATTGAGCTGCCCCTCTGGTATTAATTACCCCATGATTAGGACTCATCCTCCCATCTCAAATCTCCATGCATCTCTACTCAGTTCCCAAGTGCCCACTTACAGAGATCCCAGGAACTGGGGGAGAAGGGGAGTTAGAAGGGCAGCAGATGAGGCTGGTGGCCTTAAATGTCTCAGATTCAGAGGATCTGTCCCTGTGTCATTAACACCACTGAGGCTCAGTTTTGGGGTTGCATCTCACACAGTACTATTAGCACAGCCCTTTACCAAAGCCACTTGGGAGCTCTTCTTTGCTGTATGAGGAGCCTTTACTCTTGAGAGGCTGTGGGCTATTTCCTTTACTGCAGTCAGTTCTTACCACTTTGTCCTGTTTTTCATAAAACTTAATAGAATTTTCAAAGTTGGACCATTATACTTTCTAGACAGTCTCAGTCTGGGCTGTTTCTTCCCACTGTGGCCCAGAATAAAACATCCTGAATTCATCTCTGAGCTGTTGAGCCTCTTTGGGGTTAGTGTTTGTATAGTTCTAGGAAAGCCATTTGTAAACCTCTGGGGAGGCGCCTGTTTGTAGGCATGGTGTTTCTTTCCCTCCTTGAAGTTCCCTAGCTTGGAGCTCAAGGATCTGGAACTCCTGAGATAATTGTCCTTGGTGTCACCTGAGACTTGGCCTTCTGCTGCCTTCTGCTAACCTCAAAGGGAATAGGCCTGGTCTGGGGGAGCGCATCTTGAGTTTAGACCCTTGTTAGGCAGTCGCTCTCTGATGCTTGATGTGCCAGTCAGAAGAGAAGTGACTTTTCTTCTTTCTCTGTTTGTAAATCTTCCCCTCAACTCAGGAGCTGGTTTTCCATCTGCCTCTGTCGGCAAGAGCCCCATGGTGGAACAGGCTGTCCAGACTGGTTCTGTTGATAACCTGAATGCCAAAAAGCTGTTACCTGGCAAGGGCACCTCGGGGATGCAGCTTAATGGTCGCCAGGCGCAGCCAAGCAGCAAGAACACCAGTGGTACTTGAACATTTACTCTAACTCTGCAGTTTGCTCTGTGTTCTAAAAGTGCACACTATTTACTGGGTTATTTTTTTTAAATATTAACCCCCCTACCCCCGCATCTTAAACTCCAGGTGCTTTTGCAGGGCAGGTCTACATGGCAGCTTCCCTCCCATGGAACCCCGCCGTGTAGTGGTGGTGGTTCCTTGCTTTGATGACTGGGTTCTGGCTTCTGCGGAGCTTTGCCTTAACTCTTCCTTTTGCGCCTTAGATGTAGTCCAGCCTGCAGCTGTGCACACTCCAGGGCAGGTGAATGATGAGAACAGAAGGCCTCAGAGGCGGCGGTCAGGTAACACCTGTTGCCACTTGATTTCTGGAAGCCATGAGCAGTAAGCTACGCTTTGCTTGCCCTTTCAGGGGTGCAGGGGTGAAGGTGTTCCTCCAGTATGCTGCGCCCCCTTGTTGTCTGTTATGTGTCTGTAAGTTACTTTCCAAGTAAAGCTTGAAGCATCAGTTTGGTGGTTTGCTTCAGCTATGGCTGTCCTGTGGTCTCACAGGGAATCGGCGAACAAGGAATCGCTCCAGAGGACAAAACCGCCCGTCTAATGTCAAGGAAAATACAATCAAGTTTGAAGGCGACTTTGATTTTGAGAGTGCAAATGCCCAGTTCAACAGAGAGGAGCTTGATAAAGAATTCAAGAAGAAACTGAACTTTAAAGGTCTGATCCACATAAAGGTTGTTGTCTCCCAAGAGTGTCCCTAGAATGCATTAAGAAAAGATGGGAAGCAGTTGGGGTGCTGACCAGTCTGGAAACTGGAATTGACTGAGGAGCTAATGAAAAGAGGAGTTTGAGGGTAGATGTGTGCAACCATCATGACCAACAGTCAGAAGGGGTCTCTTCTTAGCATGAGACACTTAAGTACAATGTTTGGGGCCAAGGATGGCTGCTGAATGGACCCCTGGAGAGAGATCTCTGGAGGGGTTGTGTTTTACTTCTGCTCCTTCTTGTGCTCTGCTTCTCCTGTAGATGACAAAGCTGAGAAGGGGGAAGAGAAGGACCCGGCCGTGATGACCCAGAGTGATGAGACTCCTGCTGAGGAAGACCTTCTGGGGCCCAACTGCTACTATGACAAATCGAAGTCATTCTTTGACAATATCTCTTCTGAACTCAAAACCAGGTGAGAGCCTCAGTGGAGTGATGGGAAAGACGGCTATTCTGTGAGTCTGGGTTCTCTTACCTGAAGACCAGGTTTGGAAGCTCACATTGCTACTGTTTAGGATCTTACATTTCTATATGACACGTACAAGAGTCCTACGTGCATCTGCCTCCTTCGCCCAGGATGTGGTGTGGGAAGCCTCTGGCAGTCACTCAACCTGATGGGACTCACTGAGGTCAAGCCCCTACACTGCCCACTAGGCCTCAGGTTTCCCGTTTCCCATTCAGTACTTCCACTCTGCCTGCTGGTCCTGCTGGCCTGCTACCTGAGGCACCTGGTAGAGCATTCTGACATGAGGTTCCTTCTCTTGATTGTCGGCAGCCAGTGACCACATTGTGTTTATCTTCAGCACCTTGGATGAACATCTGGATTGTATAGACAGTCTGCAGACCCCACGTCCTGCAGCTCTGCACCAGTATGCTGCTGGGCATAGAGGAACAGCAGGAAAGAGCTGGGCAACCCAAGCGTGTGCCTAGGCTTTGCCAGGGGACTGTGTGTAGCAAGGAGTGCATCAGAGAAGTGCTTGTTGGGGAGGCCCAGCGGTAGAAGGTAGGCAGGGCACAGTAGGTCTCAGCAGCACTTATGTGGAAGGGGCTTTTCCTAGTGGAGCCAGTGCCTGCTGAGTCAGAGGGAGCGGGAAAGGGTTTATAGGTTGTAGTGGTGACGTTGGCTGTATTCTGAGCCATCCAGGCGCGTTGTGCTGGTGCTGTGCTGTATCTTGGTGAGTGGCTGAAGGAAGGCTGATGTGGATCCTGGACGGCTAGGCAGGAGTGCAGGGATCTTGGAGTAGGGTGACCATGTGGTAGAGGGACAGGCTAGAGTCTGAATGTGGGTTTTTTTGTTTTGAGGGAGAGGGGTAGCAGGCTAGCTTTGAACTTGCTGTTCTACCTCAGCCTTCTGAGTGCTGTGATGATAGGCTTGTATAATCATGCCTGGCCTCTTTGAGTGTGTTTTGAGGGTGGTACTAAAAGGCTGGTTGATTATGGGAAGTGTAGAATAACTTCATTGCATCTTGTCCTGAGCAGTTAAAGGACAAAGTCACCCTTCAATGAGAAAACCTGTGGGTGCATCAAGCCTCTGTGCTGAGGACTGGAGCTGCCTGTGAACACCTAGTAGGGGCACTAGGCACGCAGCTGCATACAAGGGTTGCAGTGGTGGTTCTGTGTTCTCATCTTCTCATCACCCTGAAAAGCAGAAGCACATTTTGGGAACCTTGTTTTATAACGTCTAGCTCTGCCTCTCCTTCATCTTGGAGAAACTTGAGTCTGGAGGGGTCTGTTTTGTTCCAGTCTCAGGCCTACTTGGGGACTGGGCTCCCCAGCACCCCTGTCCTTGCCTAGCAGGCAATAGGGTTTCCTTGAGCCAGGTCTGTGTCCCCTCACCTTGGTAATGGCCATAGCAACAGCCCATTCTTCCTGCCCTGGGCTGAGGACAAAGCGTCTTTGAGAAACTTTTGAATTGGTGCCGCTGCAATCAGAACCATATGTACCTTGTCTTTGGTATAGTTCCAGGCGGACAACATGGGCTGAAGAGAGGAAACTCAACACGGAGACCTTTGGTGTGTCAGGAAGGTTCCTGCGCGGCCGCAGTTCTCGTGGTGGATTCCGAGGAGGCCGGGGCAATGGGACAACCCGGCGCAACCCAACTTCTCACAGAGCTGGGACTGGCAGGGTGTAAGGCTGTAGCCGAAGTGAGTAGGGAAGCTTCTGGATCCTTTGGTGGGAGATGTTAAGCCAGGCATGCTTAGGTAGAGCCTAGGAGCTGGGAAGCAGGCTACCTGTCTTCTTCCTACAAAAAGAATGGCCTGAAGGTGTCTAGGCCAAACTGAGGGGGGCTCCTAGGAGCAGCGAGAGCCAGGTCCTAATCTCTCTATTGGGGATAGAGAGCGAGGACCAGTGAGTTGTCGTGGGCTGGGTATTTGCTGCTGGCTGCAGTAAGAGTGTCACAGCTAAGTCTGGCACTGAGTTCTTAACAAGGCCCCATGTGACTGGTATGTACCTGGGTCTGGGCAATGTGTCCTTGTGCAGTGCCAGGTGGGATCTGGAGAGGCTGGGGTGTCCTGCCACTAACTGCCTCCCAGTCCTCAGTGTGATAGGAAGGTGGCCAGCCTGACTGATAGGGGAAGGAGAGTTGCTCATTTGCCTTTTCTGGTAGCAGTGCCTGGTGATCTGGGCAGCTGCTTAACAAAAGGTGCAGACATGCTCATTTCTTGTCCTCTCTTGCAGGGTGCTGCTGAAGAGGCACAAAAAATGGCGCTGTGTGTATATAAAGACATAAGGAAACGCTGCACTTACAGGGAGAAGTGGTCCCATTGTTTACTGAGTTTGGAAAATTCCCATACTGCTCCTTATGTTTTGGACTTACCTGAACTTAGACATGGTCTGAGTTAGAACCACTTGTTTTTTTGGGAAGTATTCATGGGTAACCTCTTTGAGGTGTCTTGACCTACATTTCCTTTTTGGTTGCGCACAGCCTAAATCTAAGGTTTGGTATTTTGCAAAAGGGTTTCTATAGCAAACGCTTGATCCTCACTTTGTGACTGTTTCTTTTTTTATGACAGCTTTGACTTTTAAAATGGAACCAAATCTCATTTGGCACACGGGGCCAAGTGCATCTCTGTAACCCATCTGGCCCCTGGTGCTGCTGGCCTGGCATCCCCATTGCCAAGGGTGGGGTCTCAGGAGATAGTCAGGGCCAGCACAGGGTGGGCTGGACATGAGGGGAGGGTGGGCAGGGAAAGAGGGGAGGGTGTCCCATGGATCATGTTGTGTAATGCACCAGTGACGTCAGGGTTGGGGGCTGGCAGAGGGTGGGTGGACTCAATAGTGGGAAGCACCCCTGAACATGAGCTATGTAGTGTCAGTGTCACATGGAGCCTGGATTCTGTAGGCACTGAGGCTTAGGTTCGAAGCCCAGGACAAGCCCCTGGTCTTCCTGTCCTGTCCCTATTAGCCTCTGGCCCAGGTCAGTTAGTGTTGGACTCGGGCCGAACACTTCAGTGTTCTCATCCACTTGGAAATGAGCCAGTCTCTTTTTTGCAAGGTCAGTTGACCTTACTTTCTCTTGATTGTAAATAGTTCTTGTGTGTTTTTGTTTTAAAGATGGGTGGAGGGAGGATGGGGATATATATTTGTTGCATGAGTAAATTGGTCAGACCTTCAGTTACACGCATGCGTTCTTCTGGTTGACAGGGCATTTTGTTGAAAATAAGCACCTTGGTAACTAAATCCCTTTAAAATAGCTATAAAGGCTTTAGTTCTGTATTGATTAAGTTTCTGTAAAAGCTTGGGTTTATTTTTGTAGGACCTGATGGCTGAGAGTTAGAACATAGCATTGGGGTTGCTCTGTTGGGAGTATTGTAAATTATAACTATAAATAAACATGCAAACCTTTAAAACTTCTTTTGCTGCCTGAATCATGTGTCACATCCAAGGCTCGCTCAAAGGCAGGCACTGTTAAGGCCTGGAGTACAGTTGGGCTGCTAGGGTTTGGGACAACTTGTGGTTCCATGTGGCACTCCAGAAAGGAGTGACCTGGCTGGTGTGGGTAAAGTAGAAAGACATGCTTGGTTCTCACTATAAGCCACCCTTCTGATGTTCCACTCTATAGTCTGTCTAAAACTAGTTTAGACAGTTTCTGCTTTACTGTTTCCAGATTTTTTTTTTTTTTTAAAGCAGTCTTCAGAAGACCAAAAGGTATATGATCAGGTGCTTGGTTTCCCCTTCAGTACCTGCCTGTGTCTGTAGCTGTCAGGCTCCAGAGCAAGAACCCTCAGCAGGCAGCCTTCCCTAAGAGGAGGAGAAGCTGCTAACCAGTAAAAAGAAAACCTCCTTAGTGGCACAGTAGATACGGGCAGCTACAGCATCTCTGTTTTCAGTTTAACACTGGTGACTAATCTCACATTTTATGCAAGCTTAAATTTATATGGGCCTCTCTTCAAAAGTAACGTGTAGTAAGACAAGGGCCAAGATGGGAAGCTGTAAGCTGAGGCAGGCAGCAGTGTAGATGCAAAAAGTAGTTCAAGGACCCGAGGGCCAAGAAACCATGACGTAAACTACCCCTGGACTGAAAGCCAAGAGGTGTTCCTATTCCTATTCTGGCTAAAAAGCGAGAAAGGGCACAATCAGACTACAACCTTTAAGGTAGAAAATAAAAGAACACGTCAAGATGCAGTCTATTAAAGACAACCACAAACCTAGTGTTTTGAGTCAGGGTCTTGCTTTACAGCCCAGGCTGGCCTCAAACTCAAAATCCTCCTGCTTCAGCCTCTTGGGTGCTGCTATTTCAAGCATGTACCATCATGCCTGGCTCAAAACTAGTTAGTGTTGAACATACAGCTGCAGCTCTGTGGCATTCTGAGTCAGTGCTATTTGTGCTTGTGCCCTCAACACTACTAACTAGGGGGACTTGAATGGAGCTCTAAAAGAAAAAGTAAAATCACCGTGTTGAGAAACCTCTAAGAATTCTGGTCTGCTGGGTTCCAGGTGCCTCTGCAGATACCCTTACTGATAACTGGCACAAGGGACAGACAGAAAAGCAGTCATTGAAGCAAGCACTCAGATTTAAAATGAGATTTCATCCTCTAAAGAGCCACCATAATTACACCTATAAGATACACATTCTATTCACAAGGTTAAAAAATACGGACGTTTATTGGGTACTCAGACAGTACGGGCAAATGGATGGAAACACCCATGTGTCACTGAGACTCGTCCATGGCTGAGTTTAAAGGCTGCTGCTCCAAGTGAGTTAGTTTGCTTTATCACGATGCTTTCTTTTGTTTCTTCTTTTCATTTTCTTCTTTTTCTTTTTCAATTTCGGCAACGTATTTCTCAATTTCTTCAGGATTTAGAATCTATCCCCCCAAAAAAAGTGTGCTCACAGTTAACCCCTCCTGCACAAAGTGCAAGCACAGCACTATGGGGCAGGGCGGCCTGATGCTGGGTTCGTATCACAGCTACTCCTTTCCACAGCATCTTGGAGTGGCTTCAAGGAAAGGGAAGCGATGGTGGCAGCCAGGGCTGCAGTGCTGCTGACAGCACCCCGTCAGCTCACCAAGAACACGAGAGCACTGTCTTGAACCACAGAGGGGAAAGTGGGAATATTTGTAGACATTTGCAGGGAGCTAAAATCACAGCAGGATGGCCCACAAGAATGTTGTCCCTTCAGAAGGAAGTGGTCACAGGGCCATTCTGTCCTGGCTTTGGCACCAGGAAGTCTTTGCCAACACTTCTCACAGATTATGGCCCACCCTGATGGCCGAAAAAAATTCCACAGGTAAAGAAAGTGAAACGTGGGTGTGGTGGCACACAGCTATAATCCCCTACTCTTGGGATACTAAGGCAGGAGGACTGTGATCAAGGCCAGTTTGGGCTACACAGTGAGACCCTATGAAGGGGAACTCCCCCCAAAAAAGGGCAGACTTGGCAATTACCTTGAGAGGCTGATCTCGCCTCATGACAGCAAGCTCAATGTTTTTGCCACCTGACTGGACCACCTTGAAGGAGAAAACAGGGCATTTAGATGTATCCACCCTTAAAACCAAAACTATTTTTTTTTTTTTTTTTTTGGTGGTACTAGGGCAGGTTGCACTTAGCTCATGGCCAAGCTATTCTTGAAAAGGCCTTAAATATACTGCCTAACCAAACCCAGCATCCAAAGGCTTTGTCCCAAACACGCTTCTGTGTGAGGGCTGTTGAGGATATCTGCACCTCCTGTTGCACAGCAGCCTGCCTTGGACAGGTGGCAGTGGCCACTGAGAAGCCCAATGCCTGCACCCCTGGCCTAGACCATTTGGCTTCACTTGCTTGCACCTTCAAGGTCTTGATGGAACTCATGACCCCCAGCCACACGTCTCTCTTAATTCTTCAACTCAGCAATAGTAAAGCCTTTGAAGGCCAAGGGTCCTGAGCCACACAGATTCCACTGCCCAGTACACAGGCTCACGTCTGTTTTTCATGCTCTCCAAGGAGCAGGGCACTTTCGGCGGACCATGCCCTACGGCAGGCCCACCTCGCCCAGCTTTCACATGCACACTTACTTCCAGGAGTGCCTTGATCACCAGCTTGATGGTCAGATCGTCCGTCTCAATGGCTTCATCAGTGTAATTCTTCTCCAGGAACTCACGCACTGACTTGGCACCCCGGCCTATAGCATTGGCCTGAAAAAGACCCATGTGTGCTCACACAGCACTGGATGAGACAGCCCACAGCCAGCCGGTGTGGGCTGGCCAACTGCTGCCCTCCCAGGGCAGGGCCTGAAGTTTGCTCTCCAGCAATGTGAAGTGATGACCCAGACCCAGTCACTGTCCGTTGTAAAGGGATATTTAAAACTGGTGCTGAATCTTAGCAAGGACAGGATTACACTTTCACCTCTTTACCAAGAGAGACTTAGGAGTTTTAAACATATGCCCTATATCCTCATCTACCTCACTGCCCTTTGATACTATTCTAAATAATGTTGAGTGAATTTTTTCTCACATTAGTAAACAGGTGGCATGTGTAGGTGGACTAAGCTAAGAAACTATCACCTGTTCAACACAGGCTCAGTGCCTCCCAAAGGCCCCTACCTCAAAGCCTCCCAGCCCAAGCCCCTTTGCCTTGCCATGGACTCACCTTCCAGGCATGGTATGTGCCTGACGGGTCAGTCTGGTACAGTCTGGGGGTGCCATCAAAGTCGAAACCCACAATGAGGGCAGAGATGCCAAATGGCCTGCGCCCATTGCTCTGCGTGTAACGCTGGAAGGAAAAGTCAGTGCCATCAATCATAAGAAAATTCATATGACATCCAAAACAATGGTGCTTAGTGAATGGATAAAGATATTTAAGTCACTAAGGCCACCCCAAGTTATTTGCAATTCAAATAAAATTTGTAAATAGCTTTCAACCTTCCTCCTATCCTTTCTGTATTTTGGCTTAGACTCACCTGGGAGTGGAATTGATCAAAAAGTTCAACTGAAGCTCCCGGAAATTAATTGACAGACCCCCAAATATTCTGACTACACGCTGGCTTTAAAGAATGGCACCTCACTTATAGAGTGGGGGGTGGCTTTTAGCCTTCTTCCAACTGCTTGGCAAATGGCTGTTCAGGAATGGCAAGATGAAAACTACTTCTCTCCGGAAGCATGAATTAAGACAGCCCAGACATCAGAACGATGTCACCAAATTGAAAAAGCCAGATTAAGTTACATGCACATGCAGGATACTTTATGACCACAGTGACTGCTCTACAACCAGGTGGGTGAGCCGGCACCCACCTGCTTCAGACTGGCGATGTAGCGGGTGATGTACTCCACAGTGACTGGGTCCTCCACGGTCAGCCGGTGGCTCTGGCACTCTACCCGGGCTCTGTTGATGACTATCCTTGCGTCAGCAGTGAGGCCTGCAATGAGAGCAGAAGCTTCTGCCACAGCCACTCATAGCTCCAACCAAGGACAAGAACTGCACAAGTGGGACAGCATTAGACCATCGTCAGATTCCGAAACCATCCTCTGAAACCTAGGACCACGGCCACTCTTAGTGACCAACAGTGGACCTAAATGGCCTCTGGAAACTGCTCCGAGAAAACAATGCATGAAAAACTGCGTATAAGACCCTATTTAAACATGCTGAATTGTGTTGGGAATGTTACAATTAAGCTAATCCCTAAGTTTGCTAAGGTGAACTGAGATCTTCCTAGACTGATCTGCTGAGGGGGGAAAGGAGTGAGGCTACAGTAATGTGATGGCCAGTGTCCACCTTGTCTGTGGCTATTAGGGTGAAGGCAGGGCACTGCCCTCTCTACCATGCCACAGGTATAGGGTTGGTTGGCTGTAACATATCACTGACCAACACAGGTGAGTAAGAGTGGAGGTTACTGTTCCAACAGAGTAAGACAGCAGCTTGGGCAGCATGGGTTTGCATTCATTCAGCCACTTTGTGTTTTGTCCACGCTGGGGTGGCCCCCAAGAAAACTATGGCCACCAAGTTTAACGTCCACAGCCATTTTTTTGTTTACCTGATTTACATGTCTCACAATTGCCCACCTGCCCAACTACTGTCTCAAGCTCTGCTCCTCATCAAAACCCCAGACTGGTACCTGCAAAGGCCATGCAGACGTTGTCATCCAAAGCACAGATCTTCCGCACTGTCCTTTCATCTTGTAGTTTAGCCACAGATTTCTTTTCCACACCAAGAACAACAATGTCTCTTCCTCGAACACCAACCTTAAATAAAAACCGCAAGATACCTGAGAATGGGGTGCCACCAGGTGTGATGCACAAGCGTGGATGTCCCCATGGAAGGTGTGTTCATCCACATCTGGCCTTCCACTTGTCTGTCACTGGTCACACCACACCAGGCCCTGCAAACCCAGGGCATCCAGGACATCCTGGAGCTAGTGCAGGTATCTGATGCAGGTGCCAAATCCTGTGCTTTAAAGTACTGAAAGGTAGTTACAGCAGTATTGTACCTTGCTGGTAGGCAAGCAATATGTGTATGTTCATTTTAACCCAGTGAACAGTCCAGTCCTAAGCCTGTGACAACCCTTTACTGTGTCAGGTGCTGCAAAGCCAGTGGTTCTGGAGCTGTGAAGCTGCAGTAAGGCCTGTGCACTCTCCTGCCCTCTCCAGTGTGCACAGTTCTGAGAAAGGCCTAGTTTGCCACCAGGTGGACAGCTACTCATTGTTTAAGGTCAACCTCCTTGTTAATGGCAGGTACCAGGTAATCACTGACAGTCGTGTGGAAAGCATCTCTGCAAGGTCCCAGTCAACCCAAAAGCTCTGCACACACTGCCCCTTGTCTGGAGAGTTTCAGTTTTCCTGAGCTGACTCACGTTGGCCTTCAGCATCACCGAAGGACCCAGAAAGCTAATTAGGTGCAGTAGGCAGCCGCAGGTGGCAGGCGGGAGCACTGGGGAAGTGGGCATCAGAGTTCTTGGGGCTGGGTTAGATCACCAGTCACATTGGGGCCCTTAGTGTTAAAATAAAGACTCAAAAGGTGGAATTACTTCAAACTTCAGAGCCATGTGTGCTGTTTTCTTTCTGCTTACTCAGATCTCTGAACAACGGAATGATAAAAGAAAAACGTCTGTCTCATGGTTGAGCTAGTAACACTGGCCGGTGTCAGGAAGACACCACTTCACCTTTTCCAACAGCGTCGCTAGGGTCCCTAAACAAGAGCTGGAGCAAGGCGAGAGGGGCAGGCTGAGGCAGGAACCAGCGTTGGCAAAGCGGTCAGACCCGGAAGCAGCCTGTCACCAGCGCAGGCAGCGGGCCGCCCTTTGTTCTCAACGCCCACCTGGGCCTGGCCGGGGAGGCTCCAAGTCATTGCTTGCTGCGGGCACAGCAGTCAGCCCTGCCCGCCACCTGTGCACCTGGGACTTCTGCTCCAGGCGGCGCGTTCGAGACCAAGATGGCCTGGCCCCGCCGCCGCAATCAGCTCAGAAGCGGGCCCGACACAGCCGCCCGTGTCAAGACGCCTGTTCAAGTCACCAGAATAACCGCCGAAATCGCCCCGGAGTGCGGCACGGCCACCACCCGCTGGGCGTCCCTTCCCAGAGTCTCCAGGCCCTCCCGCAGATCGCGCCGCTCCCGCCGCACAGGAGCGCGCTCCACCCGCAGGCCGCCTGGCTCGCGCCCCGGGAGAACCCCCAGGCCCCCGCGCGCCCCGGACCCCGCTGCGCGCAGGCTCACCGCGGTCGAGCCCTTCTTGACGGCCTCCTGCGCGTACTCCACTTGGAAGAGGTGGCCGTCGGGCGAGAAGACGGTGATGGCGCGGTCGTAGCTCATGCCGGCGGGCGCAGCAACTCTGGCCGCAGCAGCTCAAAAGCGCACACTCACGGCCTGCGCCGCGCCCGACGCCCCGCCCCCACGCCGGCCACGCCGATGACGTCAGCAGCGTGTAGCGTCAGTCGGACGAGCGGCTCGCCGGGCGGGGCGGAGCGGACGGAACCACCGGCGCCGAGCGCGGGGGGCGGCGTGGAGGCCGCGGGCCAGGAGCGAAGCGCAGGCGGGGCGCCAGGGGGCCGCGCACGGGGCCCAGACAGGGGCGGCAGCGGGGCGCGGGGCGGGGTTGCGGTGGGCCCGAGCGCGGGGCGGTGGCTCAGGAGCGGGCGAGCCCACGGCGCGGCGCCCCCTGAACCCCCGCCCCCGCGCTGCGGAGAATGTGCACCTTGGGCCGCGGGGCGCCGCCGGAGAATAAACCCCGATGATTACGGACTGAGCCCCACTCCGCCACCATGTCCGTGGCCTTCGCATCCGCGCGGCCGAGAGGCAAAGGGGAAGTCACGCAGCAGACCATCCAGAAGGTGGGCCGGGCCCGGGACTGGTGTGGGTCGTGGGAGTGCGGACGGGCGCTGGGCGTGAACAAAGCCGGGGCGCAGCCCGGTGGCCCGAACCCTGACGATCCGAAGCGGCGGGCCCGGGGCGCTCGGCGGAGAACGTCACCAACTTCGTCGGGGACGTGGCCGGGCTGCCGCGGTGGCGCCTGCCCCCGAGTGCACCGCCGGTGTCCGCAGAGTGCGTCGCAAGGAGGCGGTGCGGGGCGCAGCGGGCCCTCCGCCCCTCGGAGCCGGAGCCGGACCCGGACCCCGGGCTCGTCGCGCTCTGCTGACAGCCTTGGTGGCGGAGGCGGTGACGGCAGCTCGCCCCTGCGCTCAACTTGGCGAGTGGAAAAAGGGGGTGCGGGCGGCCTCGGGGCGCGCGGCGGCGGCGACGGCGGATCGGCTGCTTTAGTAAGGTGCCGACGCTGCCGGCACAAAGGGACGCATCGCAAGTGTGGGTGCCATTGCGGCAGCCCGCAGCCCTGTCCCCGCGTGCTGCACCGGGCGGACCTGCAGCCGGTGCGTCCCCGCCCTAGCTCGGACCAGTTAGCTTCTGCCAGGCGCCCTGATCAGCCAGAAGGGACAGATTCGCCACCCTACTGCCTGTGAGCATTTACACAGGCTTGGAGACATGTTTAGCAAAAACCTTAAGTTTTGACATCGAGAATAGATTTTCTACTATTTTTTCATGCTCAACGTCGTTTATGCACATAGGTTTCTTTACTCCGGTTCCATCGACAGCAGTATTCCTGGGTACCCACGAGCCCATTAGGTCCCCGGGGGCATTCGCCTTAATGACCATCTCTCTTCTTTATGATCTGTGGTCTCTTGTGGGAATTGTTCTCAGTCCACTGCCTGTTCCGAGACTGCCCTTGCTGTGCTGTCTTTAGAAATGTGATGTTTTCACGAATGGTCAGCTCTGAGCAGGAGATTTTTTTGAGAAGAGCGGAAATACAGGTTTGCAGGTGTAGCTTTTTTATTTACTTAGTAAAGCCGAAGGGGTGCCCCAGCCTGCCAGCTCTGTCCTCAGAGCTTTATAGATCGTAGCTCATTTCAGTGTTCAGGGAATTTACTGTCGTCCTGTCTTATAGTGAAGGGAACTGAGGCATAAGGAGGCTAAGTGGTAGAGCCAGGAGCCTGGCCCAGGCAGTGGCCCCAGGGTTTGCTGTACCTGTGGCATTTGGTCAAGGGCCTGGGCTAGGCAGAGGGTCCAGCATCAGGCACAGTCAACAGTGCGAGGGGCCCTTGCACTTTGGATTTTGGAGCTTAACAGTCACTGTTGTCAGAGCCACCTTTGGCTTCAGTGTCTATTGGGGGGAAGTTTGTACTTCATACCCCTTTCCTATTAAAGCTGCTCAGATTCTCCAGGCAGAATTGTGTGGAGTATGTGTTAGAGAACTACCCCCAGCATCAGATCAGAAAGAGGGGGACCTGCTGGCTGCATCCCAGGGCAGATCGGCCCACTGACTCTTTAGCAATTCACCTGCCTCAGCTGGTAGGTCAGCAGTCCACCTGCTGGTCTTGGCCTTTAGGCAATGACTATGTGTACACAGGGAATCTCTTAGTGGGGGTCTAAGAAGGGTCTGAGGTGGGGGTGTCTTGTATTCTGGCTAATATGCTTGAGCATACCAGCAATCCCAGCACTAAGAAGGCTGAAGTAGGAGGATTTCTAATTCAAAGCCAGCTTGGGCTCCATAGCGAGACCCTGTCACAAAAAACTGCAGTAGGGCTGTAGCTCTGCTGTAGAGCACTTGCCTAGCACATGCAGGGCCCTGGGTTTGGTTCCAAGCCCTGGGGAAAAAAGTGTCCTCTGTCTATAGTATGTGCTAACAGGCCCATGCTGAGAACAGTGGGGAAAGCCAGTGACTCTTCAGAAGCGTGCTTGGTAGTGAAGGTAAAGGAAGTACACAGCTTGTGTTCAAAGCATATCTGTGAGTAGCATTCAGCCAAGTCAACTCCTACTCAGCCTTCAAAGACCCACTTGAATGTCCCCTCCCTCGTGCTTTCTTGGCATCCATGTGACCAGTGTAGCACTTTCAGGTATTGCTTATGCTATTGAGTTAGCATCTGGCTATCTTGTTCTTTGCTGGCCCCTAGCCTGGCATGGTTCCTGGGCACATAGTATTCAGTACATACTGTAGCATCTCTGTTAGTGTCCCACAACCCAGGTGGCGTCAAGGAGCCGGATCAAAGTCCTCAAGGTTTCCAGGGTTTGGCTCATTCCTGAGGCTTCTAGGAGGAATTTGCTGCCCGCCCACCTCCAAGCTTCTGGTGGCTGCAGCAGCCATGGGTTCTCTGCTTCTAGTGGAGTCTCTGCCTTCTTCTCGTAGCTTCCTGTGTGTTTCTGTGTCCGTGTTTCCTTCTTCTGAGGATGTTGCTGGATGTAGGACACCCCCTAATTGAGGATGGCCTCTGCTTACTTTATTAACTTGCAAATGGCCTGTTTCTGAATTCAGCCCACAGCAGTGGTGTCTGGAGAGTGATATTCCAGAGGACAGTCTTGAAGCGGGGATGGGAGGTTGGGAAGCTCAAGGGAGTTGTAGGTGGGCCTGGACCAGGTACAGGGGACCTGGAGTGGAAGAGCAGGACCGCCAGTCTGGTCAGGAGCTGGTTGCTTATGGTGACTGAGCCTGGCATGTGGTGAGACACAGTGAGAACCCCGCTTGGATGAGAACAGCAGGAACACAGCCGTGCCTGGGACTCTGAGCTGACACTGGGCAGTGTCCCCAGAGACTCACCTCTGCCCTGTTCCCCACTAGCTGGGGACCATGATGTACCTACCCAACATCCAGTACTGGACTGGCCATGTTGGAGGGCCCTGGCACCTCCTGTCACTTGGCTCGTGGTAGTTACTCAATTGACACAAGCATGGGTCACTTGGCTCGTGGTAGTTACTCAATTGACACAAGCATGGGTGTTAGTGTTTCTATGCTGTTCTAGTCCTTGGCTGTGTCTTTCTACCTGCTGCATCTGAGTCCCCAGCACTTATGGAGCAGGACTGAGGGAGCCGAGGGGACGGCTCCAGGGAGCAAGACAGAGCTGGTGGGGTGAGTACTGGGCTGTGTGCCAGAGGGCCTGGCATAGGAGGAGGTGGCCAGTGAAAGTGGTGCTGTGCCCAGTACCTAAGAGCCAGGGAGTGGTGGGAGCTAGCCTTGCCCTGCCTCAGTGTACTGAGCCTGAGTGCAGGGCACAGGGCCCTGGGTGGGGTGGGCAGGCAGTGGGTGCCCTGTGCCTTCCTCGCATCTATAATTGCTATCTCTGAGAACACAGACCCATCCAGCTAGGAAGGTGAATGGGGGTGCAAGGTTAGAGCTTGCCTCAATGTGAGCCTGCTGTTAACATGACTATTAGGCAGCTGCTCCAGAAAGTGCCTTCTCCCCTATGGATAGGGCTCTCAGAGGGGAGCACAGGAGCCTGTGTTTTTTTACCCCCAGGGATAAAGAGGGGTCAGCCTGGAGTCTACCCTGGGGTGAGGGGCAGCCCTTTGGCACCTGTGGGGAGGGAGGGAACAGTCAGTGAGTCCTGGCTGACAGCCCCTTGGCCTGAAGGCCCAGGATACATTTGGTCAAAACACAGTACCCCCTCCTGCCCTTCTTGAGGCCCATGGGCTCTGGGCTAGTGGAGCCTGGAACAGGCAGGGAGGGCAGCTCTGCCCCAGCATGTCCATAAGGCTTGGACACTTGCCCTTGTGTGCTTGGAGGCACAGGACCATCTGCCTGGAGCCTCTACACTGTGGTCACAGGACATACCATGCTTACCCCTGGTGGGTGCAGGAATGAAGGAAAGAGAACCACCACCCAGACCTGGACACCTGCAACTAGGAGACGGTGCTGATGTCCTGTAAGGCCTGTCGAGGTTGGAGGAGACAGAGCTGAGCTTCAGAGCCTCACTGTGCTGGTGAATGAGGAGGAGTGGAAGGGCTGGGGAGGAGCCAGCAGTGTGGGTGGAAGTGCATTCCTCTACCAGGGTCAAAGTGGGCTGTAGGCAGGGCCCCTTTACATTTATTTAACCTGGAAAAAGGTGTGGAAGGCAGGGGCCTTCACTGTTGGGTGGGGCGGGGGCAGATCGGGTTACCCGAACCAGGGTGGTTCAGGCTTCCTGGGCTCACATTCATGGTCCACTGGCACTAGGTTATGCATGTGCTTTCTGGGCCTTGGGTTCCTTGGCTTTAGAAAGAGGATGGTTTCGGGACTTGCTAATAGGCTGTGGTTAAGGTAGTCGGCTGGCACGGGGTTCAAAATGGTTGTCTTTACCCTTTTGATCAGGTACTTGATCAATAGGGAAAGGACCAGAACTTAGCAGTGGCATTTGGCAAGGGAGATGAGGACTCCATTCCAAACCATGGGAGACTTGCTAGTCCAGAGTTGTGGAAAGAAGAGGCAGTTCCTGGCACATGGATGGGATGCTGCCATACATCCTGGATTTTTCATGATCTCTGCATCTTTCTTCAGCATGGAGAGTCCCATGGAAGTTGGATGACGAGGTTGGTCCCTGCTGTGGAAACTGGCATTACCAGTGCCAGAGCAGCGTAAGTCAGGAAGTAGCTCCTGTGTTGTCTGAGGAAGGTGGAGGCATGTTTGCTTTTACATCAGTGTAAATGTTTCTTACTTTGAAACTGTCACATTGTCTGCCTCCCAGGCACACTGCGGATGTGTGACTTTGGGTTTGTTTTGAAGTCCACAACGAAGTTATGTCTGCAGTTGGGAAAATGTTCAAAGGAGTCTGCTGGACTTCGGCAATTAGGTCTGCAGCACACTACCTGAAATTTCCTTGGGCTAGTGATTGCTTCTGGAGACCACCTTCATTAGGCCGTTTCTCCTTCGGAAGTCTCACAGCCAGGTCCTCACTCTGGGAGTCTCCTTAGGTCAGGCCATCTGTTTTCTGGGGGTCTCGGTACCAGTCTGTTGCTCCTCTGTTGTTCTGTTCAGCTTAGTGCCATTGGGACTCAACACCCACACAAGAAAGCTGGGTTTTCTCTCCTGTCACTTTCAGACTCCTTTTGTCTCCAGTATTTTTGGCAGTCTAGTTCCTGGGAGCCCTTCTAGAGAGGATACATGTCCGTCAACTGTGAGAAGGATCTTGGGGAGATTGTTTTCCTCACCACATAGTCTCTGTTTCTGGGGGATCTGACTATGCCCTGTCGAAGTGTTGATCTAATGTCATTATCTTTCCTGTTCTCTGACTCCTTTTTGTTTTTGTTTTGTTTAGGTTTGCTTTTTTGAAATGGGTCTTTCTATGTTGCCCAAGCTGGTCTTTCAAACTCTTGGGCCTAAGGAATCATCCACCTCAGCCTCCCAAGTGCTGGGACTTCAGGTGCACACCACAGAGTCCAGCTTGACTCCTTTCTGTTCTGTTTTCCAACTCTTTTGCAGAGTTTTTTGTTTTCGTCAACAAATTTTTAATTTTTTGCTCCAGGTTGTTTTTAAATAGCAACCTCTTTTTTTGGACTGGGGTTTTGAACTCAGGGCTTCGAGCTTGCAAAGCAGGCACTCTACCACTTGAGCCACATCTCCAGCCCAGCTTCCTCTTTTTTATATGTACATTAACTTCTCTTTATCATTCTGTTTTGGATATTAATTTTTTTCATTTGTTTCCTTTTTTAAAATCTCAGTCCCCTTCAGGTATTGGCCATGACTTTTGTGTTGGCTATTTTTTTTTTTTCTTTTTGTAGTGCTATGAATTGAATCGAGGGCTTTGGGCATGCTGAGCAATGAGCTACATCCCAACTCTCTGGTGTTTGCTTTTTCACTTATTTTTTGTAGTACTGGCACTGGTATTTGAACACGGCCTTGCACTTGCTAAGCAGGCTCTCTACCACTTGAGCTGCATTCCCAGCCCTAGTGTTGGCTTTTGATTCTCACAGGACGGGTTTCCTCCACAAACTGGTGCTGGTTAGCATGGTCCCTTTCCACAGAGACACCACCAGAAACCCTTCGTGTCAGCAGGACTGGGGTGTCCCTGGGGAAAGCCCCAGCCCTCAGCCTCCTGGGCCTTTTACAGTGTGGTTCAGTGTCCACCTGACACAGGTCAGAGCGCCTGCTTGCAATTCTCCCCCATCAAGCTCCTTTTCATCCTAAAACTCCATGACTGCGTCTCACGTTCTTGTGAGTTTTCAGCTTTTTGATCCTTACTCAGCAGGCAGATCTGCAAGGGTTTGGAGTGCAGCACCTGTCCTGTGCTTTTCCTGTGAGTGGTTTTAAACCAAGTGAAGTTGTGCCCTATGTGCTGCTTTAACTTTTTTGTTTTTGTTTTGCTTTTGGTGGTACTGGGGTTTGAACTCAGAGCCTCACACTTGCTAGACGGGCGTTCTGCCACTTGAGCCACTCCACCAGCTCCTATGTGCTGCTTTAAAAAACAAAAACAAAGAAAACATGGTAAAGGGTCCATATTTCCTTATGTTTGTCAAAGCAACAAAGCATTTTAATGGCCATCTCATCGTTATATCACAGTGTGCACTAGTAATCCTGGCATCAGCTGTCTGGTGTCCCCTGTTTGCTAAGCTACTGTGCCTGATGCTGAGATGCTGTCCCGTGTGCATAGCATGTAGTGTTTGCTTTGTGTCATGGAGAAATCTGTTCCTGGGAGCAAGGGGTCAGGGACAGGAGCTGGGAAGTCTTGTAGGGTGGCATCAGAGAGCAGAAAAAAATCTCTGGAGGTTGTTTTCCCCTTCACTGATCTGGAGAGGGAGAAGAGATGCTCTTTCCTGTGTGTTTCACCACCCTCACCTGTGCACAGGTGCGCTCCCTGGCAGCTCCTGGCAGGTAGTGCCCCCTGGTGGCTCCCTGTTTTAGGGCAGTTTCTCTGCTGAGTTGGACACCTGAGCATGGTCATCTTGTCACAGTGGGGAGGAAAACCATAAAATGTATGGAGGAAGCATTGTAATTTCCAAAAGAACAAAGCAAGGGGCCACCCCTGGGGTCATCTGGCTGAGGGGAGCAGCAGGAAGCTGAGCAGAGGCAGCACTTGGCAGGCTGTGGGGCTGGATTGCCCCACAATCCTGTGGGAACAGGAGCCCAAAGGCAGATAGCATTACAGGTGCCTGTGTTGTAGGGTATAAGGAGGGGAGGGCAGCCCAAGGAGAAAGCGCAGGCAGGTGCCCTCCCTCTCCAGGGCTTCACTTGCTCCAGGGACCTGCAGTCACTGCCATGTATTTTAGTAGAGGTGCCTGTGTGGGTCCTGCCTACGTGAGTGCCTGAGCAAAGGCTCTGTAGCAAAGAGGCAGTAGGTGCTGGGCTTGGTCCTCTGGTCACCCGTCACTGCAGATGGGGAGTGGCTTACACTACCTGTCTAGCCACCCTGGGCAGGTGGCCTATTGGCCTGCCACACTTACTGTCTGCCCATCCCCTCTGCAGGCCATCGTAGTGCTGCCCCCAAGTGGCCATTCTGGGAAGAGGGCTCTGTGTGCCTTGGTTGCTTGCACATGGCTCCCTGGCCTCTTCATGCCCAGCTTCCTGCACAGCCTCACCAATTCTACCAAACATAGGAGCCCGAGCATGTGCAGAGGCCCCAGCTTTGGAGTCTGTAGACATAAGGGACTGGGAAAGCTGATTCAGGAAGTGCCAGATCTCCTTCACATTCATCAGCATGTGAAGGACGCCTTGGAGGGAGCCAGTGTAGCTCTGTTAGCCTAGTCCAGAGCTTTCAGATGCTGCTGGAGATGTCAAGCACCTGAGCAGGGCCAGGTCTGGGGAGCAGCATTTTCTGGCAAATTCCCAGCAGTGCCGATGCTGCTAAGTGTGGAGCACACCTAGAGGAGTAAGGGCAGGACACATGTTCCTGTGTCTCGAATGCAGGCCTCTGGCACTGCACCAGTGTTCTGGGAGCCTGTGGTACCCCCTGTGAGTCCTGGTCCAGCTCTGGGGTGCCCACATCTGGCTGGTTCACCTGCACCACTCAACCAGATTTGTGTCAAATCTGGGTTTTAGGTCATGACCCAGTTCATATGCACCTACCTAAGTATGAGACATACAAGGTTTACAAAACATACTGACCTCCTCTGCATGGAGTGCAGCCTGATTCTCTTTCCTACGTCATTTCCTGTTGAGGTCAGGGTAGCGGCATGGGTAGAGGGTCAGTGGCCCTAGGCCAGGTCAGGTGTGGTTCCTCAGTTCCACTGGATTGTCCCATCCAGGCCTGTGTGTTTGCAGTTCCTCCTACTGGCAACGTATCCCCTTTGTTTCCCTCTCTGGCCCAGGGTGAGTGTAGCCCCATGGGAAGGCTTCACAACGTGAGCAGGGCTGTGAGCTGCCTGCCCCGGGAGAACCTAGCTGTGCCACCTGTGCTATTGTGATTTGAGGGTGTGTTACATCCTCCAGGTGGGTGCTCTAGGATCTGGTGTGGGTGCCCTGGGTTCTCTCCCAGGGTCCTGGAATCCTTGCTGTGACCTTGGCCTACACTTGGCAGCCGTAAACCCTAGTCACAGTAAGGAAGGTGCTGTGATGATGCACGTGCCCTGTTCATGCTATCTCTCCTGCAGATGCTGGATGAGAACCACCACCTTATCCAGTGCATCCTGGACCACCAGAGCAAGGGCAAGACAGCTGAGTGCGCCCAGTAAGTTGGCCACTGCCAGGCCCTTTGTCCAACCACAGACTCCACTTTGTCTAAACGCGGGAAGGCTTCCTTGGGTGTAGAACAAAGTGTGTCCAAATCTGAGAACTGAAGTCAGCTACAGCTCTAAGAGGCACCCCAAAGACAAGGGAGGTGAGAAGCCTCACCACCAGGACTGGGGGCAGCTTAGGCAAAAGAGGGGAGTGAGAGGAATATTGAAAAGGCCCAAGCCTGCCACAGCTCATGGCCAGTAACAAAGGTACCAGGGTACAGCAAGTGCCTTCAGGTGGGCCATCCTGTGATCCCCAGGCCCTGTTGTAGAATAGGCATGCTAGCTTTCAGGCTTGCCTGGAGGCAGGAGATGTGTGAGGGACCTCAGGCAACGCTCCATGTGGCCTTCGTGAGGGGCCTAGCACTCCCAGGTGTGATGTGTGGGAGAGGCCTGAGATTGCTGGGTGTGATGTGGGGGTCCTCAGGTGCTCAGGCTGTTCCCATTTCCTTGCTGGGCATTTTAGAGTGTTTGGAATTAGGCTGATGTCTGACTCTGCTGGAGCAGGTCTCTGTCCCCTGGGCTGCCCTGCTGTTACTTCAGACCCTGCCTTCTATGGCCCCACCGTGCATCTTAGTCTCAGAACAACCCCAGTGCCACCCTCAGCCCCCATGGCGGGGTCCTTCCAGGGTTTTCACTGTAGAATGGGAGCCTGTTTGGGACATGCGAGGTACGTCCCTGACCTGTGGGGTCTGGCTGTCTTGGTTAAGCTGGGCTTCTTCCTCTAACTGTCCGTGGACACACATGCCGGCCTGCCTGCTGACACTGTGCTCCTCCACAGGTACCAGCAGCTCCTCCATCGGAACCTGGTGTACCTGGCCACAATTGCGGACTCCAGTCAAAACATGCAGTCCCTGCTCCCCGCTGTGAGTACCCAGGTTCCAAGCTTGTCACCTCTCCTCACACAGGTGACCAGCTGAACTCGGTACCACAGGAGGCAGTAGAAACAGAGCATGGGGTCAGGGGTGAGGAGATGTGTCTGAGGTAGATGGGTTGAATGGCAGCTTGACCTGTTTAGGGAAGGGAGATGATTCCAGAAGCGCACCTAGGAACGTTGGCCATGATGTCAGGGCCAATTGTGAGGAGGGGAGGGGAATGTCACGTGGCATTGTAAACCCTGGTTTTTCCCTTGTGGTGTTGGGGCTCAAACTCAGGGCCTCAAGCATTATGAGCCCTTCTGAATGTTGCTAGCAGTTAAAGCCCTTGCATGTACACTGCTGGGAACAAAAACACTTAAAAGGAAGACTCCCCATCACAGTAAATATTCCCGATGTTATCTTAAATATTTTATTGTCTGTTTGATTTTCTTCAAATGCATTTCTTCAAATTAAAATTTCACTGTAAAACAAGATCCTGCACCTGTGGCCTCAGTCTGCAAGCTGAGTGAGAAGCACAGCTCAGAAGGATACCCTAGGTGGCCATGGCCAGCCGTGACGTGCCAGGGCAGATTTGTCACCATAAAAGGCTCACTCCAGTGCCCCCAACCCCCCTGGAAAGTGGTGACATTATAAATATCAGGATTGTTTCACAAGTACAAAGTGTTAAGCCATCCTCAATCAACCGTCAAATGGTTCCTTCTCCCTGTAGACTCCAGCAGGACTCCCTTTCTTGGCCACGTGTGAACAGTGTCTGTGAGCAAGCTTTTGGAGCCCCTGTTTGATGTAGCACTAGGAGGGAGGGGCTAGGGGTCACCTGTACACTCTATTTCCTTTCTGCATCCTGTGGTGAGAGGTGGACTAGAGAAATGGGAAATGATGGGGATGGATTATGGAGCAATGAAGAATGGTGGAGGCGTGGGCTGGAGAGGGAGAACTGGAAACAAGTATGGGTGGAGAATGGGGGAACAAGGAGGATGGAGAGCGGTGGAGGCTGTGGAAGTTCAACACATGGCAGAGCCAACTTGTGCAAGGCACAGAGGAAACTTGGACACTCAGGCACTTGACCAGCTGAGCCCAAGAGGGATGAGATGGGCACAGTGTGGTGGCCAGCAAAGGGGTTCACTGTCACCCCAGGAAGGGGCCCAACTTTTACCATCCAAGTGTTTGTGGATACACTTGTTTCGTGTTTACATTCTGACTGATTATGCAGACCACTTTTCATATTGTCTCCATCTTGGCCTGAAGCATTTGGGCCTCAAATGCCACCATCCTGCTGAGTGTGACAGTAGCTGTAGGCTATGGATGTTCAACAACTGGCCATGAATATAGTATAGATCTCATGGGCCCTGGACTCCCTGGCACATGGTGGTGGTTTTCTGTGAGTTAACTGTGCTCCCCTAACTTCTCTGTCGCCCTCAGCCTCCAACCCAGAACATGAACCTGGGCCCCGGAGCACTGAGTCAGAGTGGATCCAGCCAAGGACTGCACCCCCAGGGTAGCCTCAGTGATGCCATCAGTACGGGCCTGCCCCCAGCCACCCTCATGCAGGGCCAGATTGGCAATGGTGAGCAGGTTTGCAGCAGCAAGATTGCCTGGCCATGGGTGATTGCCGAGGTGGGGTACCTACACTTGTGGGGCTGGGCTCAGTGACCCCTGCTTTCCCATGTCCTGGCCACAGGTCCACTACCAGCACCAGGGTACCTGTGGACAGTGGGGTGACCACAGAGGCCATGAAGCTCTGACTTCACACCCCAGCTCTGCTTAACTCTGTGGCCACTTGATGCAGAGTGCGCTATTCTGCTGTACTCTACTAGGAATGAAATGGTACCACCTGGGATCAAGAAGTCCCAGTAACAGTGGGACCTCTTAACGATAGGCTAGGTCATCTTGTTCTTTGATGGTGTGTATGTTTATCTTGTTAATCACATGACCATTTACTCATTCCTAGTGCTATTGACCCTGGGTTACGCTCTCCTCAAAACTACCTGAAAGGAACTTCAGAGGTGGTGACCTGGCCCCCAGTACCTGACACCCCCTCTTCTATCCCTCCTGGCAGGTCCGAACCACGTGTCCATGCAGCAGACGGCACAGAGCACACTGCCCACCACCTCCATGAGCATGTCAGGCAGTGGCCACGGTACTGGGCCTGGCTATAGCCACTCAGGACCTGCCTCACAGAGCGTTCCCATGCAGGGCCAAGGTGCCATTGGCAACTATGTGTCACGGACTAACATCAACATGCAGTCCAACCCAGGTACCCTGCCCAACCCATGGAGCACGGGCTGGCTACTTACTGGACCCTTGTGTGTGGTCCCTTTGGGGCTGCCCTCCCTGTGGGTGCTGGAGGGTTGATGGGTGCTGGCTGCCTTCCCCTGAGAATCCCAGAGCAGGGTTGGGGAGTAGGCAGGACCCCAGCCCTGGGGGCTTTCCAGAGGCTTTAGGGAAGGCTCTGGAAAAAGGGTGGCACTGACCATGGGACTGAAAGGGCAGCCCTGGGACTCAGAACGGGTTAGTAGCTCCCCATGCAGGGAACACCCTGCAGAGGCCAGAAGCTGAAAGGAAGGAAGAAAAACTGTAGGCTCCAGGCTGGGGGACCAGGTCTTTTTCCAGGACAGCTTCTCAAGCAGGGTGTCCATGGCAGTGGCTACTGGCCCTGGGATCGTGGAGCACTTGGGAAGTAGCAGATCCCAATTTGGTTGTTTCCTGACTATTAGAGACAGCAGATTTTAAAAGGCAGGTGTACTACAAAAAAAGCATGTGAAGTGTGTCTGTGATGCTTTTTTTGTAAGAATTACATGCTGAAACTTATATTGGAAATATCGACGCCAATAAAATGCATTATTAAAACTGATTTCACCTGTTTCTTTTTAACTTTTCAATGTAGTTACTAGAAGCTTTAAAACATACGGCTCGTGTCCTGTTTCTGTGGACAGTGCTGTGCAGGAGGGGTTCTGAGCAGGCAACATGTGGTCAGGCCAGCGGAAGGGAATAGCCTGCTGTAGCTGTGAAGAGCGCTGCGTCAGGAGGTAGTCAGGGTGAAGATGTGACTCCTCCCAGGACCAGCATTAGGGACAAGGAAGAACAGGACTTGAGTTTCTGTGGGCTAGGACTGGCAGGAAGTTTCAGGTCTACTTTGTGTTTGCCTTGGAAGCTCTGTCTTCTTCCTATGTTGGCTTAATGTGGGCACACTTAAAACAGTTGGCACCAGCCAGGCATAGTGGCTCACGTCTGTAATCTTAGCATTCAGGAAGGTAAAGCAGGAAGATGGTGAGTTTGAGGGCAGTCTCGGCTGCGAAGCAAGACTCTGCCTTAAAAAACTCAAAATAAATAAATACATAAATAATTGGTAGCAAGGGCTAGGGTTGACCGTGTGCCAAGTGTGGGTGCAGCTCAGTTGCTAGAGGTGTGACTTGGGAGTCGGTGACAATCTTGTGGGGAGCTACAAGAAATCGTAAAGGATAAGCTGAGAAAGGAGCGGGTGGCAGAGAGCAGAGAGGGCAAGGACTGCCCACCCTGGAGCTTCCTCAGGGTTATTTCGAGGTCTCTGTCCTGTTGCGCAGTCTCCATGATGCACCAGCAGGCGGCCGCGTCCCACTACAGCTCAGCGCAGGGCGGGAGCCAGCACTACCAGAGCCAGTCGTCCATCGCCATGATGGGTCAGGGCGGCCAGGGGAGCAGCTTGATGGGGCAGCGGCCGATGGCACCGTACCGGCCCTCCCAGCAAGGTAAGGCACAGGGGTCTGCCCAAGCAGGGTCCCGTCCCCAGACTCCTGTCTGTTGTGAGGGACCGGCACTCAGGTTTCTCCATGCTGAACTGGGGAGTTAGGAGGTTTGCCCCTTTATATGAGCAAGGAAGCTGGGGCTGCTGAGGGGTCTCTGCTGTTCCTAGAGGTTCTGGTGGGGACCGAGCGCAGATCTACTGTCCTTGGGGAGGGGGTGTTGAGGCTGGGTGAGGCTAAGGGCTATTCTGAGTACAGAGTCCAGAGTATTTCAGGACTGGGGATCAAGGACAGGGGAGACTGGTGGTGGGTGGTCCTGTCCCCTCAGGAGACCCCGGGGGTGGGTTTTCTCATGTGGGCAGGGCTGTTGAGTGGGGCCCTGCTGCTCTGCAGGGAGAGCGAGCCCCACTGCCTGCTGGTCCTGAGTGCCATGTCATCACTCACAGGCTCTTCCCAGCAGTACCTGGGCCAGGAAGAGTACTACAGTGAGCAGTACAGCCACGGCCAGGGTGCCACCGAGCCCATGACCCAGCAGTACTACCCAGACGGTGAGGCCCAGCGCGCCCGGGCACCAGGTCAAGGCTCCTCTGAGACCTGAAGACCCTGACCTACCTTCTGCCAGCAAAGCATCTTGGTCCACTTTGCTCAAACCCACTATGGGGTGGGATAAGGCTAGTCTCTGACAAGAGAAGCTTCAGCACACACTGCCATGCGTCTTCTTGGGGCTCTGCCTTGCTTTCCCAGAAGACGGTAGGAGTCAGAACTGGGAGGGGCCACCCATTACAGACAGGTTTAAGTGTCTTAAAAGGTGGGCTTACCCTCCCCAGGAAATGCATTTAGGGAAGCTGACAGGACCCCACTCCCTAGCACTTTGAGTCCACGTCTGGTCACACTTGCCTCCAGCTGCTCATTGTCACTTCTCCACATTGTTTTTCCCTGTCACCTTTCAGTCATCTTTAAATTATCCCAGGGTTTATGGAGGTGGCATTTAAATGGTCTTAAGCTGGACATGGTGCCCATGCCTGTAATCTCAGCCTCTTGGGATCTGGAGATCAGGATTGTGGTTTGAAGCCAGTCCAGGCAAAAAAATTTTGCAACTCTGTTTCAACCAATAAAAAGCTGGGCAAGGTTGTACACACATGTCATCCCAGCTATGTGGGAAGCATAAATAGCATAAATTGCAGCCCAAGGCCAGCCCTGGGCATAAATGTGAGACCCTATCCAAAAAGTAAGCAAAAAGGGCTGGGAGTATGGCTCAAGCAGTAGAGTCCATGCTTAATAAGCATAAGACTCTGAATTCAGACTCCAGTATGCCAAAACAATAAAATAAAGTGGTCTTAAATACCAGATGTAGTGGCCCATACCTGTAATCCTAGCACTCAGAAGGCTGAGGCAGGAGGATTGAGAGTTCCAGGCTACTCTGGGCTAATGGCAAGACCCTGTCTCAACAAAATCCCAAAACCAAATTAAGTGGCCCTAAGGATGGATAGATTTGGGGAAGCAAAGATGAGGGTCCCTGGTGGACATCGGGCAGGACCCTGGTGTTAGCCCACACTGAGGCACAGCTATGCACCCTGGCTGGGAAACGAGTGGTGGGTAGGTGGCAGAGGCCAGCAGCAGGCAGGCTGTGGCGCCCGGAATGAGCTGGCGCTGTGCCTTGCAACAAAGGCCTCCTTCTGGATCATGGCTGCCCTTGCCCCAAAACTCCCAGGAGCCACGTAGCGGTGAAGCAGGGAACAGCCACTTGTCAGGAGCAGGCTGTGGATACACTTGACCCTCACCATATCCTGTGAAGTAGGATTGATGTCTGCCTGTTAAAGTGAGAAGGCCAGGCCCAGGGAGGTGGGGCTCCTGTCCAGCTCTGTGTGTCCCCGGCCTCGGTTGTCTCCCCAGGCCTGGCAGCGAGAGGCCTCCGCCGGTGGTAAGTCATCACTTCCTCGTAGGTCATGGCGATTACACCTACCAGCAGTCGCCCTACACGGAGCAGAGCTACGACCGCGCGTTTGAGGAGTCCACACAGCACTACTACGAAGGCGGTAAGGAGCGCGAGGGCTGTGCGCCGTGTTCCAGAGGGAAAAGGCCACACAGCAGTTAGGATGCCACACTGTTAAGGCCCAAGCAGTGCCCGCCTGGTCCAGTTGACCTCTCCTGAATTACCAGCAGGCACTAGACTGACTAGAGCAGTTGGCACAGAATTTCATGAAATCGGGTTTACTCCTGGGAGCTAGAGATGCCAGGCCGTGTGTCAGGATCCTGCTTGCTTTGCGTGCGTGTGGGAGACGGGTTCTGCTGGCCATGTTACGTAGGAGTGCTAGGGACAAATGCTGCTGTTTGGTCCAGCTGACCAGCCTGGTGCCTGGAGCTGTGCTCAGAGCCATCCACACTCAGTCATTCAGCAGGAGTTGAGGCACTGAAAGCTCTCTAGCCAGGTGGAGAGGGCTCCGGGGACACGGCTGCGTGGTGTGGCCCTGGCATTTCTCCCAGTGCTGGATAAAGTTCATCTTTTGGTGAGGGGCTTGTAGCCCCCACCTCACACCCTTGGCAGTGCTGCGCGGAGGCAGCTGCTGCAAGTGAGCTGGCTCTCACCCGTTGTTGCTGCACTGTAAATATGCCCACCTGACTGACTTGCAGCCACCATTGGCAGAACTGGGACAGGACGTATAGTCACATCCTGAGCAGGTGAGCCCCTTGTCACAAGGCTTAGGACCTCAGCTGCCTTGACCAAATTCCTGGTCTGATATCAGTAGGGATAAATGTGAGGGGAAAAAAATCAGTAACTATGGAACAGATGATCTGTAAATACAACATTTTTGGTGGCTTTTTTTTTTTTTTGGCAGTATGGGGTTTGAACTCAGGGCCTGGTGCTTACTAGCCAGGCACTGTACCACTTGAGCCATGCTCCAGCCCCTTTTACTTTTAGGCATTTTTCAATTAGGGCTTCAGATTTATGTTCAGTCCAGCCTAGATCAAGATCCCTCTACTTAGGCTTCCCGTGCAGCTGGGATGACAGGTATGCACTTTCATGCCCAGCTCTTCAGTGGTTGAGGTAACTTCTGCCCTGGCTGGCCTCGAACTGCCATCCTCCTCACCTCTGCCTCCCAAGTAGTAGTACAGACATGGACCCACTATGCTCAGCTTTTTTTTTAAAAATTATTCATGGCTAAAAAGCCTACGTAACAAAAATGTAAGCATCTTAATCATTTTTAAGACAGTCTAATGGCATGATGTCAGTTCAGGTTGCTTTTCAGCTGCCACACCATCCATCTTGAAAACTGAAATTCCGTCCCCACTTCGCAGTAGCTCCCCAGCCCCTGGCACCCACATTGTGCTCTGTTCTAGGGGCCTCCCATGAGTGGAATCGACATTCATCCTTTGTGACTGGCTTTCTTCACTCAGCATAGTGTCCTCAAGCTTCGCCTGAGATACGGTGCATAGCAAAACTTCCTTTTGAAAGGCTTGAGGAACGTTCCAGTCTGTACAAGCCATCCATTGTGCACGGACACACAGGTCGCTCCACGTCTTCGCCTGTGTATGATGCTGCAGTGAACGTGGTGGGAATATACCAGAAGTGAGACTGCAGGGTCACGTGGCAGTTCTGTTTAGCTTTTTTTGAGGAGCTGCCACACTGTTCCTCAAAACAGCTTGGTTTTCGGTTATACCTGATACAGCAGAGAAACTGGAAATAAGGGAAAGTCTAAGAAGCAGTGACCGCTTCTTAGCGTCCTAGCATAGCTGCTTCTCACATTCTCACCAGCACACTCACAGCTGCCCTCTTTTCCTGCCTGGTACAGTCACCCCACTGTGCAGACACCCAACCTGCAGACCCTGAGGGTGCTTCACTGTTGGTCCCGTTTGTCCCAAGACAGGCACAGAGACCGACCATCATCCCCAGCTGGGTGAGCACTTAAGCTGCATACAAAGTCAGAGAACCAGAATAGCTGAAGTGTTGAAGTGAAATTTCATACTGGGACCTTGGGTCCCCTTCTTGCACAAGCAGATTGTCCTAACTGGTGGCTCCTCTTAGTGGATAGGCAGCATTTTTGCTCTGCTCTTCACCCGCTGCTGGATAGGCAGGTTCGAGGCTTCTCTCCAGCATCCTGTTCAGGTATCACCAGAGCGGAACTCAGTGGAACACATGAGGACTGAGACACAGCCACCACAGACATGGTTCTTCTCCAGCTAAACCTCGGCTTATTTAAACTTGTTTTCACTACTGAAAATGGTCACCAGGAGTGTTCTGCGCCACGTTTGATCTCCTGAGGTGTTTCTCAAGGGTTGTTGAGTCAGGGCCTTCGCACTGGTGCCTGTAGGGAGCATGAGGAGACTTGAGGGACTTGGAGCTGGTGGGGAAAAGATGGGACCAAAGGCAGGAGGACACATCTTCATCACTTGCCCTCTTACCTTGATGTCTCTCTCTTGCTGCTGTTTTTTTTTTTTTTTCTTTTTTGTGGTACTGGGGTTTGAACTCAGGGCCTCATGCTTGCTAGGTAGGTGCTCTTCCACTTGAGCCTTTTCCCAGCCCCAGCCCATCTGTTTTCTTACTTCCGTCATGCTTTGGTAAGAACAGCCACCCATTGATGTGTATGTTCTGGGCCCCAGAAGCACAAATGTCTTCCAGGTTCCCACTCCTCCTCTCCCGAGCCTGGAATCGGGCTGCACAGACACAGGACTCCACACAACTGAATGGCAGGCATTTGGTAAGCCAAGTGCCAAGAGCAAAGCCCATCTCAAGAGATGCTGGCTAAGACTTAAAAATGGCATCGGTGAACATGTTGTGAGCACTGTGTATTGAGCTCAACCTCTGCACCAACCTGAAGTGTGCACCTTTTTGGTGAGGAGGTTGTGAGGTCTCAGACCAGCAGAGCCCTCTGATACCCCTCAGGTCCTGGGTGATGACTTACGCCTTTCTAAGTGGTTTCTCACCATAGGCTTTCTCCTGGAGCAAGGCATGTAGCGTGGGTGCTGGCTTCATCAGATTTACCGAAATAAGGCTGAGCCATTTTTCTCTGGGAAAAAAAAAAAAAAAAAAGAACAAAAGCCTGTCTTGGGTTTTACTCACTGCCAACAGCATAGGAAACGTGTGCCTCTCCTAGCCCGTGGCAAGAATTCTGTGAGGTCCAAAAAAGCCCATTGCAAGCATAAGCTGCGGCCTTGGCCTTGGCCTGACCTTTGCCAGGGAAGTCAGCAGGTCCTGAAAGCCTGTTGGACTGTGTGGGGAACTTTGAGAATCCTGACCTAAGAGGAGCGTCCAGGTGGCTGTCCACCCTGCACCTGTGGCCCCCTCACACTGCTGCTCACTTGGTGACAGGACCTGAGTGTACTCTCCTGGCCAGCGGGTCCTGTCTTCTCTGGCACCCAGGGATGAGAAGGGCAGGGTTGCAGGTTTCTTTTGTGCACTGTTGCTTGGGGTGTTCCATGTAACGTGCTCAGAACACACAGCAGCCCCCATGGTAAGGTTTTAGACTTCAAAACTGTTTATTTCTTTTAAATATAAACATACAAATCTATGTTTATATAGATATAAATATAAATATAAAAGGTTTCTCAATAATTGACCTACTTCACTATCCTGGAATGAATTTGTAAGAAAGAAACACGAAGACAAGGCTGTGTTCTTGTGTATAAGACATTGCTGTGTGGTCTCTACTGATAAGGACCACAGTTCTGAGACTTCTCGTCTCTTATGTCGTCACACCGTGCCCCTCACTGTCTGTCACATCTGTTTGCCTCGTTGCCTTCCTTCACAGGCAAGTCCACAGTGACCAGCACTCCAGCGCACACCTCCAGCCGCTGCTCTTGGTCTGTTTGTGCAAGGTCTACTCTCTAGGGCTGCAGTGACAGGGGGCCACCAACAGGGCAGTTTATACAATGGAGGCCTCAAGTCTGAGGGCAAGGTGTCGGGAGGGCTGCTTCCTCTATGGGCTCCAAGGAGAGTCTTGCCAGACCTCTCCAGCTTCTGGTGGCCTTGGCTGGGAGACATGTTGCTCCAGGTTCTGCCTCCTTTGTTATGTGGCTTCTCTGTATGTCTGTCTGCATTCCCTACTCTCATGAAGACAATCTCATCCTACTGCATTTGCAAAGACACCATTTCCAAATAAGGTCACATTCGCAGTTAAAACTCAACCCACAATACTAGTACTGCCTTTGTCTTAACTGTTAGATTGGCCATGTCATATTTTTTGGCATTCCATTCATAGTTTTATAAAATAACAGAATACTCAGGGAAGCATAGATTGGGAGGATCAAGGTATAAGGACAGCCAGAGCAAAAGTTAAAGAGACCCCATAACAAGCGGGGTGTGGCGGCTTGCGACTGCGGTCCCATTTACGCAGTGGGCCTAGGTGGTAGGAACATGGTCTGAGGCCAGCCCCAGGCAAAGTTCAAGATCTGCCTGAAACTAAGGCAAAAAGGGGCTGGGGGTAGTTCAAGTGATTGAGTGCCTGCCCAGCAAACACAGGCCCTGAGTTTAAATCCTGTTGCCACCAGAAAAAGAGAGAAAATGTTACACAATGTTTGAACTACTGTGAAAAAGAAAATAAACTGCAGGTATATATTTGGCCTGGGGCTTCCATAGCCACCTATACCTCCTGCGGGTAACTGCAAGCAGCCTGCACTGGCCAGAAATGAGTTGTGTCCCTTCTTTCTGCAGGAAATGCCCAGTACAGTCAGCAGCAGGCTGGGTACCAACAGGGCACAGCCCAGCAGCAGACGTACCCCCAACAGCAGTACCCCAACCAGCAGAGCTATCCTGGACAGCAGCAAGGCTACGGTAAGAGAGGGGCACACCCTCCCACAGTGGACCCCTCCCATTGTCCCACCCTGCCACATATGGGCTGCACATCTTGTAATACTGTCACTCAGGCAGATCTTAATAAGCTTCCTATTGTGTATAGCTGTCAATCTCCAGAGAAGTTCCAAGTTCAGTGCAGAGGGCTCCTGTGTGGCTGCTTCCCCATCCCCATGGCTGACCTTGAACATTACTCTGGCATACTCACTATGACTCAGAGCAGCAATGGTGCATCACTCCTGTCGGGCTTTTGGCAAGTGGGATTTGCACTTGGTTCCTACTGAAGCTGGAAGGGCTCCCAGTGCTAGTCCCCTGTCCACTTTATCTGGACTTCACTCACTTTCCACTGACATCCTTGTGACCCCAGACCCTGTCCAGGATCCCATGTGATAACCACGTGTCACATTTCCCCGCATACTTCTTGTCCATGACCAAAAGTCTCCAGACCTGCCTCGTCTTTCACGATCTGGACTGCGGGGTGGACTGGTCGGGCCCTTTGTGGAGTCTTCAGTGGAATTTTCCAGGTACTTTGCCCTGAATGAGACTGGGTTATGGGTTTGGAGAGAAGACAGGTGGTGCTGTTGATGACACAGCTGATCCACATGGCTTACCTGCACTGATGCTGGTCCTGCTCACCTGGCCAAGGTGGTGTTTGTCACTGTCTCCACTGTTACAATCCTCTTTGTCTCTTGGAAATAATTGCTCAGTCCCATCTAAGGGAGCATTCACATAGGTTATGTTGAATTCTTCTGTTAAGAAAATGTGTCCCTTCTCCCCATCACTTAGTTGTTCAGCTATTTATTTATTTTAGTATGTGCCCATGGATATTAATTTTATGTTGCATTAAAATCCAGTACTACTTAATTTTGTTAGTCATTTGTCCCAGCTTTGGCCCCTGGCAGTCTTCTTTCTTGTGGCTCCTGTGTCCTTTGAACATGTCTGTACTTTCAGTACCACAGTATCTTCCTACCCTTACCCTATGATCAGCCACTTCTCCAAGGAGCCTGGTTCCTCCTTTTGAAGAGGAACTTTGGAAGCTGGGAAGATGCAGATGGGTGGTTTCTGCCTCATTTTATCTCACATTCACCTGACTCAACTGGGGATGGGCAGTCTGGTCATAGTGTCCTGCAGAACCACCACTCATTGACTTCTCACCCCCTGAGGATCACAGATGCAGAGCTGGGCCAGCAAGTTGGCTAGAGGCTCAGCGGGACCTGTCAGCAAACTTTGGTTTGAATGGGAGGCAGAGAAGCAGACAGAGGGCCATGGCTGGGGGAGTCCTTCTGGCTTCGATAGGAACAAAGCAGAAATCCTCTCACCAAAATGCCAGCAGGAGCCACTCCACCATCCCTTTCTGTGTTGGATATTTTTGAGATAAGGTCTTGGGAACTATTTGTCCAGGACTGACTTCAAACCACAATCCTCCTGATCTCTGCCTCCTGAGTAGCTAAGATTACAAATGTGAGCCACTGGCGCCCAGTGTGAAGTATCTTAAGTAAAACACAAACGTGCGTGTATTGACCCATGAGGTCTCCTGGCTGAAGCTGGGTTCACACCTCCTGTGAACCACAGGCCAAAGGCCTCATCCCTCACAGCAGCTTCAACTTCTTTTCTTTTTGAAGAAGGGACTGGAATTTGAACTCAAGGCTTCATGTTGGCAAAGCAGTCATTCTTACTGCTTGAGCCACACCTCCAGTCCATTTTGGTTTGGTTATTTTGGAGATGGGGTCTTGTGAATTATTTGCCCAGGCTGGCCTCAAACCATGATCCTCTCTAACTCACCCTTCCAGATATCTAAAATTCCAGGTGTAAACCACCAGCGGCCAGCAGCAGCTTCAGCTCTTTGAGGAAACAAATCTGGCCTTTGGTTCTGAGTCTTTGCTGCATCTGAGAGCACCGGAGCAGCTTTTAAAATTAAGAGCTTGGGTCACCCAGACCAGCTGAAGCAGCACCTCAGTTCTCAGGTGTGCCCCAGTGCAAGGCCTCTCATGAGCTCACAGGCAGTTCTGCTTCAGAGCAGGAAGAAACCACAGTTTAAAAACTGCTTGACCTTAGCTGGACATGGTGGCCACACCTGAAATTTTAGGGTTGGGAGGCAGAGGCAGGAGTTTCGAGGCCAGTCTGAAGACCCTGTCTTAAAAAAACAAAAAGATTGTTCAACCTTCACAATTGTGACCAATTAAACAGCATCACAAAGGGAGCTGGGGAGATAGCTCAGTGGTGGAGCACTGCCTGGCGTGTGTAAGGCCCTGGGTTCCATCCCCAGAACCACAAAAATAATTACAATAAAAATTTTAAGATTTCTGGCCTTTATTCATTCTTCCCAAAGCCTTCAATTGTAGATGTCTTTCTTCTGCCTGTGAATTTGCCCCGGTTCCTGTTATAGTTAAGATCACTGTATCCATTGTAACCCAACAGCAGCAGGTTCTGGAGTCACCACTCACCTGCTTCCCGGAGGCTCAGGCCAGGTGTTCTGGAGAGAGGCCCTCAGTCACCCATCCTTGTGGGGGCACAGATCTTTGTAGGACTGGCAGGTCTGGCGAGCTGGTTGTGTGGCATTCTTTCTGCACAGACTTCTGTTCGGAAGAATAGATACCAGTGTTGGGAGGCTTCCAGGACTATCAGCTGCTTTTGGTTGTTCTCACAGCTCCTGGTGTCTCCACAGGGCCTGCCCAGGGAGCCCCCTCGCAGTACTCCAGCTACCAGCAAGGACAAGGCCAACAGTACGGAAGCTACAGAACATCGCAGACAGGGCCCTCTGCCCAGCAGCAGCGGCCTTATGGCTATGAGCAGGCAAGCTTTCTGGATGTTTCCAGATGTGCCCGTCCGCCCTTACAGTCCTGAGGAATAATGAGATGGAACTAATTGACTTTCAGGGTCCCTCCTGCAATGTTAATTCTCTGAGCCTATAAGGTTTTTAAAAATTAGCTCTGCATATATGCTCACCCCAGTCAGACAGCTGCTTTTTCCACCCTAAACTTGCTGTTAGATGTGCATGCATAATTCCTTCATCCATTCATTCATCCTGCAAATATTTACTATGCACCTAGCACAAGTCAGTCAGTCTCTGCTGGGGGTTGGGACATGGCAGTGACAGGGCTCCTGCTTTTAGTGCTGACATCTTGCTCAAGAGGCATCTGCTCCTTTGATGGAGCCAGATACTGTTCTGGTGCCAGGGACCAAGCAGGTTTCCAGCAGAGGAAACCGTGGTTAGGAGTCACTGTCCAGGTGGGAAGTGGGCACAAGCAGCATGGATCTCAGGTGCTCATTGCTCTAGGAAAAGACACAGAGGGGTAGAAAGCTAAAATGACAGGCAGGGGCCATCTTAGACAGTGAACAGATCGCTCAGAAACCCAGGGAGGATCGTTGTTGATGGACAGAAGAATAAGGCTCCCGCGACAGTGAGGAGGCCTGCGTGACTGAAAGAAGTGAGTAGTGGGAATGTGGTAGGAGGTGATGGTGTGACAGGTAACAGGGCGCGAGGTTCACACCCCACAAGAGCCCTTTGCTCTGAGTGGGAGGGCCTCTAGAGGAGGTCAGACTCTGTGCCAGGAGCACTGAAAAGGCACTGTGGAGGGCCTCACAGATGAGAATGAGTCAGGCTTAGGAAGAGAAGGTGCAGAGGTCCTGAGGCAATGGCAGATTTGTGACATTCAGGACAGCAGGAGAAGGCTCTGGCTGGGGCATGAGTGGGGAGATTTGTGGACATTTGTCAGTGCCTCCTTTGAAGAGAGTCCTTGGGGAGTGTTGACTGTGCATGTAGCAGCATGCTAGGTAGAAGGCATCAGTGATGCTTACACAGCTAACAAAATTCCAAGGCCTCATGTTGGTTATGGTTGTTTTCCTCAGAAAACCTAGTAGGTGAGAGGGCATTTGCTCCTCATCCTGCTCCTGATGAGAGTAGAGGACAAGCCAGTCAGAAGTCTGAATTTTAGCACAGGATAAAGCCAGCCCACTCTCAGGGCAGTCATTGAGGAGCAAACTCATTTGGCACTGAGGGGGACATTCAGAAGTGTCCAGTGAGTGTGCTGGGCAAAGGGATGGCTGTGCCTCCAGGTGTATGCTGGCACAGAGATCCAGGAGGCAGCTCCTGGCCTTCCATGTGCCCATGGGGACAGCAGCAGCTGAGGGGCTGTGTGTGGAATCCAGGAAGGCTCTGCAACTGATACAAAATTAGAATCACTAGGACAATTTCCATGAGACAGGTCTCCTTAATAGAGGGTCTGAAAATAATGTCTTTGGAATTTGTAGAATAACAAGCAAAAGTTCTAACTTCATTATAGCCTGAACTGGAGGATGTAACTGCCTGCCGGTGTCTTCATTCATGTAACACAGCCTCAGAGATGCGAGATTAGCTATGGGCTGGGGGTCTCCCAACTGGGCAGTTGGGCTATGGGGCCAGGTGAGTGCAGGCAGGGCCACCCTGCACACTGCCAATGTTTTGTAGTATCCCTGGCCTCTACCCATGGAAGCCAGTCATACCCTGCTCCAGCCCCCAGCTCTGGCTGCCCACTACCCCCTGGGAGTAGAATCGGCCATTTGAAAAGCTCTAGCCAGACTGCACACTTCCAAATGCTGGCTTCCTGGCATTCACCTGGATCTGCAGCCCCTTGGCTCAGAGGCAAGGAGACCTATTGCTTGATTCTGCTAACTAGACTCACAACTCAGAGTGGCAGTGCCCTGGATCACATTGTGAGGCCCTGCTGTGGGGCCTCCCATCAGAACCCCCAGCCCTCCTTCCTCCTAGCCTCCTGGCTAGAGCTCCTGAGAGGCCTGGTTATTCTCCCTTTGCCCCTAGGGGGCAGTAAAATGAGTGCCCAGTGTCCTTATGGACAGCATCTTCTGAGTGGCTCAGCCTCCTGTCCTGGAGCTGTGCCAGACACGGGCTCCACTTCTGTCGTTGGATTTCATGGTGACTGATTCTGCACTCCTGTCACACACTCCCGTTTCCTACTTGAGCATGCTGGGGGGTTGCGGGTGTTGGCTGGCATCATCCCTGCTACCTGTCCATCACTTGTGGGTGCTCAGTGCCTGGGGAACCTGCCTTTGTGGCAGGCTCAGACCCTGGGGAGACCAGCGCATGCCTGAAGAAGTCCTTTGACCCTCTTTGATTTAAACCATAGCCAAGGGAAAAAGTGGGTGCCTTCTAAAAGGCACCTCCCTGCTTGCCTGGTGGATTTGGGCAGAGGCTGTCTTGCCTGCCTGCTTTTGGACCTCCTTCCTCCCTGAGTGCCTGCTGGGGGAGGGAGCCTGTCTTACTGTTGGGTAAGACTTTTGCTCAGGAGGTATAATCTGTGTCTTGTTCTCTTTTAGGGCCAGTATGGAAATTACCAGCAATAAGGGACAAGTATTCTTGTTGGAGCCCTGTGGTAGCGTGTTCATCTGGAGGATGGACAGGCCGGTGGCAGTTCTGATGAATTGTGACATGTCGGTTACCCTTCGCCAGTGCCACATCTGCATGTGAAGCGTGCTCATTTCATGCTGAGTACGATGCCGAGCGTGCACTGCTGGCTCAAGACAGACAGCGCTGTGATGGTGTAACATAGTTGGTGCTGTGTATAGTATTGTATGTTGATACAATGGAGAGGTCCCTTTCTTGTCCTCCATCCCCTTCTCAATGTTCCTAATTCGTTTTGGGGGTCATTTTGTCATCAGAGAGTTCTGTGTCCAGTGATGGGACATAATCTAAAAGACGCCCTAGTCCAGTGTTGACATAAGCAGACCCTGGTTGGCTCCCTCTCCTCTTACAATCCTGGCAATGTACAAGTTTCTTTGACTGGCTATGCTGTAGCCCTGGAGGACCCTCTGTCTGTGCCTTGGTTAGGATGGGGGCACCCTCTGTGTCTTTTCCATGGTAACAAGGAAAACACGTTTCATCTGGAGAGGCTGCAGGCCGTCATCTCCAGACCTCGCAATGCCAGTTATCCCAGAAGGTCTGTGTTTGTATGAAGAAGTGAGGAAGGGTCAGTGACTATTCCGAATAAGTACATGTCCATGAGGGCAATGTGCAGGTGGCCTGTCCCAGGGAGAGTGATGTCATTGAAGAGTAAGGACCATTCTCTGCCAGCTGTGCAGTCAGAACTACTTGGGCTTTCGCCCTCATCCATCTGGTGTCATTTCTAGGATTTGAATCCTAAGTTTATAGATAAAGTATTAACACCGAATTTTCCAAACAAGTGGCAAGTTGCTTATTTTATGTAATTTCTTCCAGGACCTACTTGTTCTCCAAGTAAGTATACCTTTTCTTTTAGGGATATATGAAACCCACATCCTATTTTTTAAAAGAATCCCACTAGCCTTATTGCATTCTTTCAAATGAAAAGTAAAGACTTTATGTAGTGAAATTTGAATAAGTTTTACATGCCTAGGACATTCAATCCCATTTAAATTTTGTGCAAACATTAAAGACAACTCACTTGGAAAATTATGGTCAAGGAAAAAGCCTACATTTCTACTAAAAAAAGTATGGACAGTTGATCAACCTTTACTTGAATAATCACCACATGTACTATGAATTGATTTTAAAACATCTTCAAACAAATGCTGATGTATTCCTGAGAACTACAAGGAAAACACAAAACATAACGAGTATTCGCCATGTCAGGCCAGCTGAAGCTGATATTTTTCTTTAATTGGTAAATTTTGTTTTAAAAACGAATTCTTCACCCAGAGTTGGGTGCTGTAGAATTTAAAAGGTACTTTTCTGGGATTGCTGCTTGAGTTAGTCCTGGCACCATGCTGGGCAATGTGGAGCAGCACTGCTGCACTTACAGGTGAAGAGCGGGCTCAGCGGGAGGAGCATCTGCGCATCCCCTGCAGGCGTCCACGGTGAGGCTCCAATGCGCATCCCCTGCAGGCGTCCACGGTGAGGCTCCAATGCGCATCCCCTGCAGGCGTCCACGGTGAGGCTCCAAGGCAAATACTCAATTACAGAAGTGGGTCCTCTCTTCTGGTCTTGTTCTTTTCTGGCAGTTTTTATACAACCGTTCTGCGAACTCAGTTGGGGACTCAGGCTCCGCATTGGAAATGTTAAGCGTTTTAGGTGACTGTGAAAATAGTTTTATTCCTGGCCAGTCTGGGAACTTGCCTTCTACGTGTGTGTGTGAGTGTTTCTGTTTTAAGCGCTCTATTAATACTTTTTGAAAGAAAAGGACCCTAAAAGGTATCACCCCAACACTTCGATCTGAGCTGTCTTACATTAAGAATTTCTTGAATGTATATATTTTAAACAGCACTTTGTGAAATCGTTTGTACATTTTACTTCTTAATTTATACATGATTTTGGTGTTAATACGACGGTGAGTACGTGTCTATTTAATGGGTTCATTTTCGTGTAATTCCGTGGGGAAGCGGGCTCCGGAGCTGCCGGCGCCCGCTCAGACTGAGAAGAGGAAGACGTCCCATGTCCATTAAAGGTTTTCTACCCATGACTTCTATGTATTGAACAGGCCGAGTCCGCGTTACTTGTGACTACAGTGCATTTTTAAAATCCTTCCCGGCTCATTTTCCCGGGGCGCGGGGCACAGCACTGTCGCGGCGGGGTCCGCTGAAGGAGCCGGCTCTCCCAGCCGCGGCGTGGGGCGGCTCGGGGCTCGGGGGCGAATCCGGACGCGCCTTCTGCGCGTGCGTGCTCGGCGCCCGCCCCGGAAGCAGTCGGCCGCGACGGATGCCCCGGAAGCGATGGCTCCTTGGGCGGGTAGGTGTGGGGCACAGCCCGGCGAGCGGAGCTGTGGATTGCTCAGGGCCCCACCGAGGGCAGCTTGTTCACGCGGTTCCCTCAAGGTCAGCGTTCTCAGCGGGGTGCTTTAGCGGGGAGGACGTGCCGCGGGCCGGAAAGCAGTCCCTTAGGAACTGTCCCTGCCTGGGTCCCTTGCAGAGCCCGCGACGCGCTTCTCCTCGCGAGGTCTCCTGTCTTCATCGCGGCGCCAGGGGACGCTTTGTGACTTTGGGCAGGTGACCGTCCTCTCTGACCCCAGCCTCGCCGCCCTGGGGGCGAAACCAGTGTGAGGGCACCGGGCGGGCAGCGGGGAGCCGGTCCTGACCCGGGCGCGTCGCCACTGCGCCCTGCCGGGTGGAAGGTCGCAGAGGACCTCCATGGGCTGACCGGAGACAGCACGGTCGTTGTAAGGGAGACCTTCTTTTTTTTTTTTGGCGGTGCTGTAGGTGAATCCATGGCCTCTTGTGCCAATTGAAATATGCCTCCAACCCTTGATTATTTGAGACAGGGTCTGTCTATGTAACTCAGGCTGGCCTCGAACTCGAGATTATACCGACCCTGCTTCCTAAGAGCTGGAATTACAGCAGTGAATTACATGTCCCACACCAAAGAAAACATTTGAAAGTCTTAGGCTTAGAAGAGGTTCCCACAATAACTTCCATGGGTCAGTACACAAGGAACATTTGTATGTCCTGTGCTGAGCCCTTCACTCCTGTAGGTGTCTCCGGGGCTGTCGGACCTGGGATCCCCACTTCACCAGTCTGATTTTGCTCTTTGCTAAAGAGGAGGAGCACGTGGCTGCGGGTAAGAGGGGTTTGAGCTCGCATTCCCCCCGAGATTCCCCTGCACAGTATACAGGTGGATGCTGTCCAGCAGGACCTTCTGCTGATAGACACATTCTTATTTGTGCTGCCCAAGGTGGCCACGGCCCTATGGTCACCCAAAGTGTGACCCATGGGACTGAGGAGCTGAGTTTTTACATTTTATCTCATTTTTAACTAAATGGCCTCGTGTTCAGTGGCTCCTGTATTGGACGGCACAGGAATGACCTTATTAGAGGGAAAATGAAGACCACCAACTAACAATAGCATGGGAGAACCACGTCACTCAGTGGGTCTCTGTACAATTTGAAAGGGCAGATGTGGGGAGAGGGACGAGAGGGCAACAGGGAGTGAGTATGATCAAAGCATACTGTATGCATGTATGGAAACACCACAACAAAAATTCCCACAATATGGAGAGTGAATAAATAAAAGCAAGCTGAATGGGCAAAAGGAGGAAGTGCACAAAGTGAGGCACAAGTCAGAGTGGAGATGGCCTTTTCTGTTGCTGACCTTCATGTTCCCGTCTACAAGTGCCTGGAGGCCTGGTTCCCTGTACCCAAGGATAGCTGGTGCACCCCAGATAGCTGGGGTGCAGGACCATGGGTTGTTTTTTCCTTATCCATCTGTTTTCGCACTCCACCCCACTCCCTGTCTTCTAATAGTTTGGTAACTTCGGTAAGTCACTTCACCTCTCCTTGCCTCGGTTTTTCATTTGTAAAGTGGGGATAGTAGAATTAATTCCTTCACAGAGTTTTTATGAGAGAGGTCTGGAATATCTACTAAATTTATTTCTAGGTCCTTTTCATATTTGACACTCCTGTAAATAGGATTGCTTTCTCAATTTCCAGCATTTGCTGCTAGTGTATAAGAGTACAGTTAATTTTTTGAATTAACCTTGTAATCTGTGACCTCACCAGTTCATTTATTAATTCTAATTGTTTTATAGATCTCCCTGGGACTTCCAATCATCTTTTCTGCAAGTGGGGCCAGTTTTGCACACTTCTCCTTTCGTTCCTTTATTACAGTGCCTCAGGACCATTTTGCGCAGCAGTGGTGAAGTTGAGCATCCCTGTCTTTTTGCCATTGCAGCCCGTAGCACTCAGTCTTCCTTATCAAGTGTGATATTATCTAGGCTTGCTGCCTACCCTTTACCAAGTGGTGTCTTTCTCTTCCTAGCTTGCTGAGGTGTTTTGTTTTCCAGCTCTGAGTGGGTGTTGAGATGATCACAGATCTGTGGATGTGATGAGGTTCTGACTGCCAAAGTGGCCTGTTGGCCCTCTGGTGAACCTGCTGGGTACTGACGCGTGGTCTTTTCTGTGCCCCTGGAATTGATTGAGTGGATTGAGTGACATTTTGCCAAGGATTCTTTGCTCCTGTATTCATGGAGGCTATTGTTCTCTGCTCTTTTTTGTTTTTTTTGGAAAGTCGGGTGTGGGTACTGGGGTTATAGTGGCCTCATAAAATGAGCTGGATAGTGATATTCCTCTGTGTTCTGAAAAAGTGTGGTAATACTGGTGTTATTTCTTCCTATAATTTTTGATGGAATTTACCAGGAAAACAACCTAACCTGGAGTTTTTTTGGGGGAATGTTTTCTAACAAATGCAGTTTCTTGAGTAGGTACAGGGCTGTTTGTTTTATTCTTGCTTGTGTTTATTTGTTCAGTTACATCTTTCAAAATAGGTATCCATTTGACACAGGCTGTTGAGTCTGTAAGAGCACCACACAAAAAAGATAAATATAGAGACAAGGCTGGTAGTATAGCTCAGTGATAGAGTGCTTTCCTAGCATACATGAGGTCTTGGGTTTAATTTGCAGCACCACACAGGAAAAAAAAAAAAAAACAGCAAGCCAGGCACCAGTGGCTCACACCTATAATCCTAGCTACTTGGGAGGGAGATCAAGAGAATTGTGGTTTTAAACCAGTCCATGCAGATAGTTCAAGAGACCCTCAACACAAAAAATGACTGGCGGAGTGGCTCAAGCATTAGAGCACCTACCTAGCAAGCATGAGGCCCTCAGTTCAAACCCCAGTGCCAAAAAAAAAAAAACCTCCCTGTAGAAGGGCAGCCCAGCAAGGGGAGCCAAATCCACCAGGGTGAAGCAAGTGCCTGCCTGTGTGAGAAGACTGGAGATGGGGGCGAGACTGGTTACCCATAACAAAGAAATGGAGTAAGGAGAATGGAAACCTGGGCTCTTACAGTACAGCAGAGTTTCAGGGACAAAAAGAACATTCAGATGAGCCTGTGGTGCTGATTGGATATTGGTGTGAACTCGTCGTTTTTAACAGACATGACACGTATGAGCGTAGGAAGGCAGGTGTCAGCCTGTCTGTAGATGTAAATGGCTGTGTGTATGCTTAGTATCCAGGTTTAGATTCCAAATGCCACTTTGCACTAACAGGAGCCAGGCTTTTGGGCTTCTGTGGAGGTGAGGCCCTTGGCAGGGGACAGGCAAGCCAGGGCAGCTTGTGCAGGAAACGAAGGCAAGAGGCACAGGTCATCCTGGTGGGCTTCCCCCGGCCAAGTTAGGAACAGTTTGAGCCTTAAATAAACTATAGTAAGAGGCGATTGACTGATTACATCAGGAGACCATAAGTGCATATGGATTTATAAATTGACAGTGCATGAGAAGGAGGACCCCCCCTATGGCTTACAGCAACTTCCTGCCAAATACTGGGCCACCCAATCTAGTATTTGGAGGGAACATCAGCCCCAGGCCACGAAGAGGAGCAGTTGAGGTGGGGGAGGGGGCAGAGAAGAGGTTCGGGAAGTGGGGCTTGTGTGGAGCCCCATTGCAGGTCCGGCTAGAATTAAGGCATTTTTGTAACAGCTGGCCTATAACCTTTGAAGTACCAAGGGCACAGGGTCAAAGAAAGACTGAGGGACTTTCAGTGAAGGAGACTAAAACAGCACATGATTTGATGTGGACCTTCTGGGTAGGACACTTCTGGGACACTGGCCACACATGGATGGCTTTCTGTAGAACACCCTCATTAGGGAGCACAGGCAATTGTTGGGTAGTGGGTCTTCAGAGTTCTTTGTGCTCTGCCACCTCCTCTGAGATTACAGTTGCTTCATATCAAAAGCCACAGTGCTGAGCGCTATGCTGTGGGAACAGCCACCATAGAGACCAGGCTTCATTCTCAGGAGGAGCGAAGGTTTCTGGTCCCCCATTTCAGGTGCCGAGTGCAAGTGGGGACCTTCCCCACAGTCCCCACGCTTCTGTCAGGCTTGGCTATAAATGAGGGTTGCTCCAGCCCTACCTAGGCTCAGAGAACTTGGGAACATGTGATGTTTCCCAGTTTGTTATGAAGGTGCTGCAAAGGCTGGAGGTGAACACCACAGGAGCTATCTCCTGTGGGGCTGGGGTAGAGGACCCTCAGCATGTGATGTGGTCACCAGCCAGAGAGGGTTTGAGGAGGCTTTGCCATATGGGCATAACTGGTGACTTAGTCTCCAGCCCTCCCCTGCTGGAGGATGGAGCTAAGTGGGCATCCAAGCTTCAGTCCTGGCCTGGTCTTCTTGGAGACCAACCCCTACCTAGGGGTCACCAAGCATCACCTTACTAGAGCAGAAAGCTCTTTTGTCACTCAGGAAATGCAAGGGAACCGAGTGGCTCTGGATCAGGCGGTTATCTCAGGAAATTACCAGGGTGTAGAAGCTCTGCATCGGGGCTGGGGGCAGAGACCAGATAGATGCTCCCATTTATATCTGTATGACACCCATGTGAATCTGCTTGGACAGCCTCAGCCAACCCTAAACGCCTTCAGGTGAGGAGATGGATGCAGCAGGTGTGTGACCTTCCCCAAGTCACCAAGTCTGGATGCTTAGCCACCCTTGTTTAAAATTCTCATAACCCAGTTTGATGACTTTAACTGCACAAGATAGCACACTCAATAACATTTAAGCAAATGAATATTTTTATTTTGAAGAAAATTTGATTGGAGGTTTGGATTCCCCTCGAATAATTTCATTGAGTAGATACTTGATATTCACCAGAGAGGGCCATCCAGTGTTTTGGGAGATTTAATAATTTAGGTCATCTGTACTCAGACCCTGCCCCAACAGGAAAGTAGACTGATGAGTGCCAGGGGACACCCTGGACTTCATGGTGGGGACAGTCAGATTCATCAGTTGGTTTCTGACATGTATCCAGATTATGCCAGGTGCTGGCCACTTGACTCTAGTTTCTTTTGACGGTCAGGTTTAAACTGAGTGTCTTATTTTGCCCATTTGACTTTTGTCAGGAGCCATGATACCTGGCAGGATTTTCTCAGCAAGCCCTCACACCTTGTTGGAGGGCATGGTACTATGGAGTCCTTCCATAAGGGCTGGCCTCAAGCCCAGCCAGCTCCTTCCACAGCAGGCTCCATCCAGGCCTCTCTCAGTGGGCTACATGAACTGCGCCAAGCATCAGGAGCTCCCTGGAAAGAAGCCACTTTCGGAGAAAAAACTGGTGAGTCTCAGCTTAGAGCCTGCCACAGGCAGGCAGCAGGGTGTTCTCTTCACCCTGTCTTTGGGTGTCCTGATTATGCTACTGAGGGGCACATGGAGCTTCTTGAAAGGGGGCTTGTGTGTCAGCGACTCTGCTGATACAAACAGGGGCCTAGGGAGGAACCTGGCTCCTTGAAAGACCTGACAGTGTTCTTGCTGTAGGCTGAACACTCACAGATGCAAGGCTGCTCATTTGTTAATTTGTTTATCTGACTTACCAGTAAATAAGTGTTTCTTTAACGTACATGAATAGTTCTAATTTAAAACCTCTGGGGAACTAGACCTTTGGTTTTGCAATTCTTTAAGCCTTACATTAAGTGTTTGTTCTATTTACAAGAACTTGCTACTTAAACATGATGGTGTTTGATTAAACTGAAGAAGATACACACTTATAACACACTTCACTTCCTCTTGAAGGTTTGGGCTCCCGGTGGGCATTCTGAGGACAAAGTACTTCCTGTGGGAAAGAGCTTTAGCAGCCGTGGTGCCCACCACATAGCTGAGGCTTCCCCGTGGCTCCATCTTCCCCAGAAGGTCAAACTGGATCCTAAGTTTTGTCTTCCCTATGATGCTCCCCTCTTGGGCTTCTTTCCTGTCAGGTGGACTGATTGTGTTGGCATTGAGCTAAATTGCACAGTGAGTTTCTGAGATGACAATTCATGGTTTTCAGTGTGGTAGTACTGAAGAACCCCCTAAAATATGTGACTGGTGCACTGCCACTTGATCCACGCCCGTAGCCTTTTTTTTTTTTCCAACAGTACTGGTGTAGAACTCCAGCTCTGCACCTTGAGCCACTCCATCAGCCCTGTTTTTGTGATGCGCTTTTTTTTTTTTTTCTAAATAAGATCTCGTGAAGTCTTTGCCTGAGCTGGCTTGAAACTGTGATCCTTCTGATCTCTGCCTCCTGAGTAGCTAGGATTATAGGCATGAGCCACTGGCACCCAGCCATGTTGGGTTTTTTTGAGATATGGTCTCACTTTTTGCCTGGGTGTCCATCCTCCTATTTCTTCCCCACATAACTGGAGTGATAGGCACATGCCACTGCACCCAGTCGTTAATTGAGATGGAGTCTTAGCAAATGTTTTTCCCCAGGCTGGGCTTGTACTGAGATCCTCCCGAACTCTGCCTCTTGAGTAGCTAGGATTACTGGCTTGAGCTCCCCACCTGGCTCTGCTTATTTGTTTTTGTTTGTTTGTTTGTTTGTTTGTGGGGGTGCAAGGGATCAAATTCAAGGCCTTGTGTATAACGGGCAAATACTCTACCATTGAGTTACACCCTCGACCTGTGTATTTTCTTTTTTAAAACTCCAGGGCTGAGATGGTAGAGCACTTGCCTAACATGTGCAAGACTATGGGTTCAATGCCCAGCACCACACAAAACAAGACTGTCTGCAGCCTGTTGGATGAAGTACAGATGTCCTGGGTCTGGGCAAGGGCTATGGGTGGCCCGTGAGGACCTGGGGCATGTCCGTTGTGCAGATCTATAGAAAGTGGGTGTCTCCACTGCTCCAGTGAGGGTCCAGCTAGCCTCGGCTAGCTGAACTTGAAGGAGGTACTGATGTGTATTAAATATTAACCTAGTTAGTTCTGATTCTCTAGTTGGCTTGTGCTTGCCTTAGGGACTAAGGAGAAACCTTTCTGAAGGGCTCCATGTGCATCCTTGTATTTTCCAAAGAAGCTTTAGTGGGATCAAGAAATGGTTCTTTGTTCATAACCAAAAGCGTGGGGATTGTCCACGAAGGCCTTCACCTCATTCCCCATTACGACCTTCCAATGGCAAAGGCAGACCTTTATTTTTAGTAATGTATTTCTATGTGAAAGAAGCTAGAAGGACACTCTGTTCAAGGGATACTTGCTAAACTAAACAGTCTATGTTCTCTTTAGGTTAGAAATGCTGAATTCCTTTTTGAAGTGTGTATTCCATACCAGCCACCCTGTTTCTGCACTGATTTACCCCCACCTGCAAACCAACTGACTTGTGGGAACTGTCTTCTTGTTTTTTTTTTTTTTTTGAGACAGAATCTTGCTCTGCAACCCACACTGGCCTCAAACTCACTATGTGTCCACAGTAGTTTTTCTCTTTATGAGGGATCAGTAATAACCTTAGTTAGCATCATTAACTTCTAATTTTAATGGACAAAGAAGGCAAATTTCAAGTGTTTGTGTGCTTTCTTGGAGAGGATTAGGGATGTAGCTAACATCGGATGCCCTGTGCTCTCTGTAGAAAAGGCACTTTGTGGACCGTCGGAGAGTGCTGGTCCGTGCAGGAAATGGAGGCTCCGGAGCCAGCTGCTTCCACAGCGAGCCCCGCAAAGAGTTCGGAGGCCCTGACGGTGGGGATGGCGGCAGTGGTGGCCACGTCATCTTGAGAGGCACGTGCCCTGGGGCAACTGGGGAGGAGTCGGGTACAGGCCTTGGGTGCAGGTTCAAACCTCTTGTCCTGATGTGCTTTTGCACTGAACGTTTGATGTGTAGATGCCACCATCATAAAGTCACGTGGATGATCACAAACAGTGCACTGAGGAAAGTGACTGAAGGGCGTGGAGGTGGGGGGAGCTTTTGTTTTCTTTTGTTTTTAGTCTCAGGAACCTAATATGATACGTAGTCAAAGATGCATCTGTTGTCACTGTCTCTGTGAGTACCAAAAGGGCAGGCTTGTATGCAGAGCACTGTTAGCCTAAATGCTTAGTAAGCCGCAAACGTTCACAGCATAATAAAGTAGGTTTTTGATCTGTTTTGTTTTGCTTGAGAGAAGGTCTCACTGTGTAGCCCAGGCTGGCCTCGAATACCCAATCCTCTTGCCTCAGACTCCTGAGTGCTGGGATTGAAGGTGTGTACTACCACACCCAGCGATGCTATTTAATTGGTGATGGTGCTGTGAGTAACTTCAAATTTTTCAGAAATGGTAGTGTTTGGAAGAAAACTGAGAACTTGGCTTTCTTCTTTTTTTTTTTTTTTCTTTAATGTGATTTATTATTATCACCACTTTGAGATTTTTTTTCTCTTTTTGGAACTCAGGGTCTTGAGAGTGTCTTGATAAGCAGACACTCTTACCACTTGAGCCATTCCACAAGCATTTTTTTTTTTTGGTGGTACTGGGGTTTGAACTTGAGGCTTCACACTTGGTTAACAGGAGCTCTACCACTTGAGCACCTGCCTACAGCTTGGCTTACTTTAAATCATGTTGCTAGTCAGTAAGCTCTGCCACACTTTCCCTCCACATTTCCATGCGCAGTTTAAGATTTGTAAAGTGAACAAGAGAACGTGAACCACAGGTGCTTTCTGTCTTAATGCAAAGGAACGTGAAGGTTCTTGCTCTCACTCTAGTTGACCAGCAAGTCAGGTCCCTGTCCTCGGTCCTGTCCCTGTATCAGGGTTTCCATGGAGAAGATGGCGGCAGGAAAAACTGCTCTGGAAGAGGTGGCGCCACCCTCTACATCCGGGTAAGCCAAAGGGGCTGGAGCCAGCATTGCTGGGGTCCAAGGTGACCAAGAGGCATATGGTAGCAAACAGAAGCTGGCAGGCAGAGTGGAGAGCACCCCGGTCCTGGGACACACACCCCAACCAGGGGCCTTTGCACTGCTGTGTGCCTGGCCCAGTAGGATATGAGGTAACTGCTCTCAAGAGGGAGCCCACAGAGCACACCGTCTCTCTCGTTTCTGGCTAGGCTCTCACCCCACTGAGGGCTACTCTTCTTTTAGGCTTTTTTTTTTTTTTTCCCCATGCCTCAATTAACCCTAATGTTTTAGAAACACTTTGAAAAAGCTACTTATGGCTGGGCGTTGGTGGCTTATACCTGTAATCCTAGCTACTCAGAAGGTAGTGATTGGGAGGATTGCAGTTCAAAGCCAGCCCGGGCAAATATTTTGCAAGGCCCTGTCAAGAAAATACCTAACACAAAAAGGGCTGGTGGAGTGGCTCAAGGTGTATGCCCTGAGTTCAAGCCCAGTGCCACAAAAAAAAACCAACCAAACAAAAAAACAGTGCAGTTTAGTTTTGTTTTTAGTTTTGTGTTTAGATGGGATATTGACGTGTAGCCCAGGTTGACCTACAACTTTGGATCTTCCTGCTTAGCTTCCTGAGTGCTGGGTGTAATTGGACTGTTGTAGTGCTCTTGAAGTACTGTCAGGATCTTGTTTTTTTGTTGTTTTGGGAGTTTTGGGTGGTACTGGTGTTTGAACTCAGGGCCTTGTGCTCTACTACTTGAGCCATGCTCCAGCCCAAGTGCCGGGATTATAGCAAGCATCACCACATCACCACGTATGTAGTTTAAAGGTTGTGTGACCAGCCCCATAAATGTTGAGGGCCAGGACCTTTTCTTTGTGCTTGGTGGTAACAGGAATGGGTTCCTGGTGCCCTGTCATGTAACCATATGAACATGTGCTGCTTTTCAGGTTCCTGTGGGCACTTTGGTGAAGGAGGGAAGTGAGACCGTAGCTGAACTGTCCCACCCAGGCGATGAGTACATTGCTGCGCTTGGAGGAGCAGGAGGAAAAGGCAACCGCTTCTTCCTGGCCAACGACAACCGTGCCCCTGCAATGTACACCCCTGGAGAGCCAGGCCAGGAGCGTGTTCTCCTCCTGGAGCTCAAGACTGTGGCCCATGCTGGCCTGGTGGGTCCCTGACGGTGGGATGTGCTGCTGGTCTAGAAGGGAGTGGTGGCTTTGCATTTGTGCTTCCTGTCAGTGTGCTGCTGACGAGGATGAGCACATGCTCACTAACCCAGCCCAGCCTCATCCCGGCCAGCTGCACGCTGCAGGAATCAAGTCCTGCCGTGGACCCACGGGTGCCTTTGCTTTTTCTTACAGGTTGGATTCCCCAATGCTGGCAAATCCTCACTTCTCCGAGCCATTTCGAATGCAAAACCCACTGTGGCTTCCTACCCATTTACCACCTTGAACCCCCACATAGGAATTGTTCACTATGCTGACCACAACAGGTAGCAGGTAGGCTTCCAGAATCCTGCCAAAGGTTGGCTTTAGAGGATCTGGGTGATTCAGGAAAATAATTATGTAACTCCTAAATTTAGCTTCCTGTTTAAAGTGTGGTATTGTTTTTCCTGACTGAAATAATTTTAGTGATTCTGATCTCTATCAAAATCAGGCATGGACATACACACACACGCACCCCAGAGTCTGTTAGTTCCAGTTCAGAAATGTGAGCTCAAAATTTCGAGCCTGAGGAGAAGACTTCTTCTCGCTACATTTATTCTCTTCTTTGGAGCTCAGCAGCCTCAGTCATGCAGACAGCATATGATTTAAAAAGCTTTCCCTGTACCATTTTGAGAGAAGAAAACTTTTTTCCAGAAGATAATGTACCCATTAAAAATAGTAAGCCTGCTGGTAAGGTTATTTGTATCGCACTTTATATTTGCAAAGTACTCTATAATGATCTTTATCGTTAATCAAATTATTCATAGAGTGCAGGAAGCCGTTTTCCCCTTTTTTGAATCATGTTTGAAGCAGAAAGACAGGCATGTGTTGCATGTTCCTCAGTAGATCCATCCATCATTGCACCTGTCACCCAAATAGTTCAGAGCATTTTTGCACCCTCAAGGCTGAGGTGCCACCTGGCCTGCTGAGTCACCTGGGGTGGATGAATTTCTTTGGTTTAGCGGGTTCTTGAAGGAAAGGCTTAGAACACAGGGTCTCCCTTCCCATTCCCAAGGTTGAAAGTCACTGGGGAATGAGACATCCGTGGCCCTTGCATGAACATGACCCCATGCTCTTGTCTCCTGCAGTGGCAGACATCCCAGGCATCGTCCGAGGCGCCCACCAGAACAGGGGCTTGGGCCTCAGCTTCCTCAGGCACATCGAGCGCTGCCTCTTTCTCTTGTTTGTGGTGGACCTTTCCCTGCCAGAGCCGTGGGCTCAGGTTGAGGATTTGAAATACGAACTAGAGAAGCACAAAGAAGGCCTTTCCCAGAGACCCCATGAGATCATTGCAAATAAAATGGATCTTCCGCAGGCCCGGGCCAACCTGCCCCAGTTACAGGCCCACCTAGGGCAGGAGGTCATTGCCCTGTCGGCACTGACTGGGGAGAACCTTGAGCAGCTACTGCTGCGTGTGAAGGTGCTGCACGACGCCTGTGTGGAGGCAGAGCGGGGGCAGGGCCGCCAGCCTCTTAGGTGGTAGTGTGTGCTGTGGTCCCGGGCCCCAGGGCCAGAGGCTGGCACAGAGGTGAGTGAGCATTTGCAGAGACACAGCGACCTGACTGAGACATGGGTGGCTTTAAATGCCCAAGAGAAAGTGCTTGTAAATATTTGAGAGTGGTTGTGTTTCTGCCTTCCTGCCAACTTGCGTCTCCCCCGCTAAGGCCCTCCGCCCTCTGGCCTAGGATTCCCTCAGGTGGCAGAACATTCCATGCCACCTGATGCCCGGCCTGCTCCCCAGTGCTTTGCACACTTGTCAGCCTTGCTGACTAATTTGCAGAGGTTGACTCATTTGTGCTAATTAACACCCCTAATTAGGAGGAGGACCACACTGCTGGCTGAGGTTAGCAAATGCTACCCTCACACACAGACGGGCCCTGGGTGAGCATCACAGAGCACTGTGGCATTTGGTTTTCACACGGGCTGGCTGTGCCCCGGGACCCACAAAACAGCCCTGCAGAGCGGCAAGCCAGTACAACTCTCCAGCAGTGCTCTCTGCTGCAGCAGGGCATCCTGGCAGCAGAGTGCAGCTGCCTCACTCTCCAGCATCGGCTGAGAACAGTGCAGCCAGCTCCTCCCTGCCTTACGCTGCACTGAGCTGTGTGGGAGCCCAGCCGAGGCAGCCTTGGGGCTTCACGACTGAATGCACCCAATATCCGACGCAAGCACATGTGGCTTCTAGCTCTGCCTCAGTATGTGCGAGCGGATTGTTAACTAAAGATGACGTGAGCCGCGAATTGCCAGCATCGTTCCCAATGGGTGACAGTGCCCAGGCAGGGTACAGTAAAGAGCATGGCAGGCAGCATGTTCTTGGGGACAGAGACTGAATTTCCACTCAGCTCTGCTTCCTGGGTGCTTGAAGAACCCTTGCCCTAAGCTGTGCAGCCACAAAGACTTACCTGGTTGCACAGGATGACACCAGCTTTTCCCAGGTGGGAGTGCAGCCAGGAGAGCTCTGTTGCTCCTCCAGGTGCTGCATGCTGGCAAGTGACCTTTTTCCCTGGCAGGGCTCAAGGCTTTTCCCCCAGGTACTTGGCTGTCTATAGGGAGAGCAGGATGAGGATGCCTGCCTCAAGAATACACCCCCCAAGGAGCCCGGGGTTTTTGTGTGTCCCTGAGGGCCCTTCAGAGATGAGAAGGCGGGGGAGAGTCCTGTCACAGGTGATCCCAGAGGTGAACCACTTTGCCAGGCACGCTCGGGGCAGATGTCCTTTCTGTGTGTTGGGGTTGGGCTACCTTGAATAATAAGCTGGCGCCTCGGCTTTCAGGAGCAATTCAGTTTTGATCTAACATCAAATCTGCAGCTAGAACATGAGGTCCTTTTACCCGAAGCTTTATTTTAATGTCTTCTGATTTCAAAGGTTCTGGTGCTCTAGAGGCCAGGGTGGGTCTGGCGTCTATTGCTTTCTCTTTCAGGCTGCCACAAAGGGTTTGTAGTCAAGCCAGGCCTGAGAGCATTAATTATCCTCCGCTTTCATCTTTGTACCGGCCCTGCACTCTGGGGAGGGGGCACTCAACATGCCTCCCGCCTGACACCACCCCAACCCTGCCGCCTCCTGGGCTGAGCGACTGTGGCTTGGGCTCCTCAGAGTCAGGGCTGTGTCCTGGACTCACCAGTCCTTTGCTGAGACTTCATTGCCATACATGTCGCTGATGTTGCCCAAACTTGGCTGCCACAGAAAGCCCTGCAGAACCTGTGTGCCATCAGATCTGAAGCTGGTGCCCTTTCTATCACCCTGCTTGCCTCTAGGAAGGGAAAGCTGGACCCAACTCCCCACAGCACCACCTGCTCCCAGCTTTGGTCTTAGAGACAGGTGTTTGCCAGTCTGGTTTCCTGGTTGAGATGTGACTCACATGTATCATGTCACCCCTTAAGTGTACCTTCGAGTGTGTGTTAGACTCACAGCATTGGGCAGCTGTTGACACTGTCCACTTCCAGCACTTCCATGCCCCAAAAGAAACCCTGTCTCCATTAGCAGTTCCCCAAACCCTTCCACTTTCTGTCCCACAGACTTGCTTCCTACAGATGAGAGCCTGTAGGCTGTGTGGCAGACTTGTGCCAGGTACTCCCACCATTCATAAGGCAGTCAGTGCCTTCCCAAGTCAGAGAACTGCCAAGGGCAGCAGAGGCTGGGTCCCCTCCGACAGGGCTTTTGGTTCTTGGATGTCCCCCAGCAGCCTCAGAGGACCTGACCCCAAGAAGGCACCCAACATTGTTCGTGGAATGAACAAAGGAATGGTGACACCAGGTACTTTTAGGTTTCTCATCATTGGGAACTTGTTTAAGGCAAGTGGTGCTCCCACACTCAGGCAGAAGCCCTGCCTGCCTCCTGCACTCACCGCTGTGTGCCCCCTCTCCCCTGGCCATTTCCACAGAGCTGCTCTGTCTACACCTGCTCAGGCCTCTGGTGGCCATCTGGGTGTTGCTGGCCTTTTCCACAGTGGGCAAGAATGCAGCAATCCCATGCTAGCCTCCCCAGTGCAGCAATCTGGGGTTTGTACCTGGGTGCACTGTGCTGAGGAATGGCAGGCCATCGAGCATGTGTCCCAGTCCCTCTGTGCCTCTGGTCGTTTTCCATCTACCAACATCTGTCCCCATAAGCCTGCGACATTTCCCGGACACTCTAGCAGGCCAGCTTCCCTTTGCTCCTTTCCCCCCAGGGTCTGGGCTGGTGCCTGGCAGGCAGCAGCCAGGTGCCCTCATGTGACAAGCCCTTGGTCTGCAGGGTCTTGGTACCCATCCTGTTAGAACTCTGTGTGATGGGCTGCAGGGGCCAGGGAAAGTGAAGACAGTCTCGATTGGACAGTGGTGCAATGTACAGTGCAAATTCAATTGATGCCATGAATTGAGCACTTAAAAATGGGCAAATATTAATTTTTCTTTTTTTATTATTTAGGGGGGCAATAATAAATTTTATGTACATTTCACTACAGGTTAAAAAAAAACTGCTAGAACCAAACACATACATGCACACGAGTGTGGGTGAAATAGGTGTTGAACACACAGTGAGCAGGCTGTTGTCCATCCCCTGGCCTGACCTTGCAGTCCTGAGCATCCTGCTCAAGGTCCTGCGGGGACACAGTGAAGGGCACATGGGGCTTCTGTGCTGTCTCATTCCACAGCCTGGGAATCCGACAACCTCAAAAGTCCTCAGTGAGATTGTGGCTCTGACAGCCCTGGAGGCTCTGGGAAGGCGTCCAGCCTGCACTCACAAACATTGGCTGGGGCACGAGCATGGAAGACGGTGCTGGTGGTCTTCATAAGACCCAGGGCTGGAGCAGGAGGCGATCTCTGTCCTAGCCTGGAATCTTAAGCATCCTCTCTTTAGCCTCTCCCTAGACACAGTGGGACCCCTTTCTCTGTACAAGGTCCTCTGGGCTCAGGGTGTTACCTGTGATACATGGCCAAGGACAGACCAAAGCCTTGTGGTCCTAACGGCTGGGTCCCCGTCCAGGGTGGGAGGCATGTGTCCCAGTGGTGGAGGCAGAAGCCTTGCCCTGCTGGGAGCAACCAACAGGAATCTCTGGGCAGGGTAGGGTGTGCCATCCACAGGGTGGCCTGAGGGCAGTGTACAACCTGCCCAGGCCCCAGCCTGGCCTGGCTGCCCTCACAGCCTTGTCCCCACACTGCATCTGCCCCAGACCTGCCAAACTCATAGTCCACAGTACAGTGGTGGAGCCAGAAAGCCTTCCTCCCATGCCTTTGCCTGAAGTGTCCCTCAGTAAGGCTCCCTGGGGCCCTGGGACAGGCCTGCAGCTGGCAAGGGCTAGGGGAAGCCCCTGAAGATGGGGGAGGAGTGTTGTAAAACTTCCATCCCAAGGCATGTGCTCAAAGCAACTTCCTGTTCCAGGACAGCCCCTAGTATCCCAGGCTGGCTCTCCTTGGGGTCTGGACAGCGCAGCGTCCTCTCCCCTCTTCCTGAAACGTGCCTTCTTGTCCATCTTCTTATTGAGGGATCTTGCCCGTGTAGTGCACAGGGACAATGGAGAAGTGGTTGGAGCTCGTGGTTGATTAAAGGGACATTCAGAGCCTAGACCTGATCCCAGGAGACATTTGTTCATAGGTTGCCAGGTCCCCTCAGCCCTCTCAGAGATGCTGTCCTACCAGGGACTCAGCACAGGAGCCCAGACCAAGGGCTCTTACTCCCTTCCTGGACAAGCACAGAGCCCTTGGTGCGGTCAGTGCCTAGCTTAGTGTCCACACATAGCAAGAGCTGGGGATAGTTTACAGATACCACACGCCCTGCTACCCCTCAGCGTATTTTCCTGCTATGGCTTGAGTGTAAAATGTACCACGCGGGCTCATGTATTGGGGACCTGGTGGCCAGCTGCTTGGCTATGGGAAGTGATTGGATCCTGAGGGCTGTGAGTATGGATTCATGCCTTGTTGACTTCATAACACGGTGGTGTTACGGGAGGTGGGGCCTAGGTGGAGGAAGTAGGTCACTGGGGGCATGCCTTTAAAGGCTGTTCCTGGTCCCTGTCCACCATGAGGTGAAGATGCTTCTCCACACTACACACTCCTGCTGCCATGATGCTCTGACCAAGAGCACAGGGCCAGGCAACCATGGACTGAATGCTGATTGAGACAAAATAAATCTTCCCTCCTTCAAGGTTGTTTTGCTCAGGTGTTTTCTCAAAGTCACTGAAAAGTAACTAATACAGAAAGTTGGTGCCAGAGAAGTGAGGTGGTTGCTGTGACTAAACCTGTCCTTGTGGCTTTTAAGCCTTTGGAAGTGGTTTGCAGGAGGACGGAAGAATCTGGAGACTGACTAGAGAAGCCCTAGAGTGGTAAAGCTCAGCGGTTCGGTTTAGGTTTTTGGTGGGACTGTGGTTTGAGCTCAGGACTTCACATGTGCGAAGCAGACTTCCTACTACTTGAGCCACACCTCCAGTCCATTTTGCTTTGGTTATTTTGGAGATGGGGGGTGCTGGTGAACTTGCCCTGGCTGGCCTTGAACCGTGATCCTCCCAATATCCGCCTCCCAAATAGCTGGAATTATAGTCACGAGCCATTAGCTCAGCTTCTAATGGGTGATTCTGGCAGAAGTTCAGAAGACCAGAATGCTGATAGAAATGCAGACAGCAAAGACTGTGTTCATCAGGTTTCAGGTGAAAATGAGGGCTGTGTTGGGAACAGCACTGCTGGCCATTTGAGTTACAGTCTGGCAAAGAACTTGACTATACTTTTCCCATGGCCTGCGACTTTGAAGGGGCCTGAGTTTAAAGGTGACGGGCTGAGTACTCAGG